CTAAACGATCCAACGCCACTGTTTTCATCCGGGTGGCAATAAAAGGAGCCATAAAGTTGATGTACAAGTGCACTTAGGAGCTATCATATTCGGTGTTAAAGAGGCAGAAATCACTGCGGAAAAGACTGAGTGGAGATGTGACCTAGAAATCCTGTCCTGCGCTCGTTTCCCACGTCAGGTGCTGGTTTGTCGCTGCAACTGATTGCTGACGGCTTTGTGTTTGTTCGCCGCTCAACGACTCTCCAACCGTGTGTTAACCAAAGTGTTCGGCCAAGCCCGGCTCAGTCGGTAGCACTCTCAACAACCACCACCACCACCGCCACCACAACAAATTACCAAATGCACTGGGCCTTTCGCGTCAGAAGGACGTCCCAAGGCGCTGGACAGTTAAGAGTCTGCACCCGAGCTGGGGGTTGGAATCAAGGGGGGGTGGAGGGTAGAGGGGGGCGGTGGGGGAGAGTGTGGCCCAAGGCACGGTCAGAGAGGAAGGTTTGTGTGCGCAGACTGACTTGTCGTGTTTCCCTGAGAAGCGCTTTGATACGCTTCGACGATGTGAGAAGGCGCTGTCTCAAACGTGAGGATCGCACGGAGGTGGACGACGCACATTTTGGCTGTAAACCAGCGTTCGTTTTGGCAAATTAATGTTTCGGAGTGAACTATTTTCACTATGATCGAACGCCCACCTCTCCACGCGCGCACACGCGCACACACTACACACGCGCACACGCAAAAACAGACACGCTACAGACTCACTACCCACAACACACACACAAACAAACACAGAAGCAAGCAACACACACACTCAGACGCACACAAACACACTACACACACAAATGCACTCACACACACTACACACACTACACTACACACGCACACACACACACACAGGCCGCTACATTAACACACGCGTGAAAGGAATCCGTATAAGCGCAAAAGGCTTCCACCCGAGAGTTGGGTTTCAGCTCTACAGTGAAACCTAATGGTGAAACGCTTGACTTGATGGTATTTTTACATGGCCCGTTGTTGGTGGCTGAGTGGGGGTGGGGGGGTGGGTGGGGTGGAGGCGTTTAATGGGTGGATGGCGTGTGTGGGGGGGGGGGGGTTGTCAGTCACCTGTCCCTGTCACAGGAGAGGCAGTAAGGGGGAACGTACTCCTCTGCACCGAATCCGCCAGTTAATCTCCGAACGAGCAAAGGACACGCAGACTTTCAGGCGACTTTCCTCTTCGGAGGGTTCTCTGTTCTCTGGCTGTGGGTCTGGATGTGACGCCGACACAGATTATTCCCCAGCGCGTGGCCAACAAAGGCAGAGAAATCTTGGACGCTCTCCACTCGCTCTCTCACCAATTAATATATCAAACTCATTCCTTTTTTTTTAAAAGGTGACCAAGTAGCCCAGTGTATTACTTCTCTGACGCACTGCACCAGGATATGGGAATGCGTCTTGTTTCTCTCCCCCTCCTCCCCCCTCCCCACCACCCAAGACAGTACTTGATTGTATCTGGGTCATCAGGAGAGCAAAAGAGGAGTGGGGGCGGGAGGTGTAATTCAGTTTACACCTGCCTTTACTTGTGCCGTTCCTACATACTGACATTGCATTCAATTACCAAACCCCCTCCCACACCCCCCCCCCCCCCCCACCACCGTGTCGTCACAACATGCAATGGCAAGGATAGTGGGGGATGGTGAGGGGGCTATAAGGGATAGCGTTGACTCTGTATTTAAGGCACAGCCTGGCTCGGGTAGGTTTCGCTCTGGCTGCGCGTGGGGTTGGGTACAACCTCCCCCTCACGTTGGGACTTTGCACTTGTATTGTATTGGCTGCCGTCCCATCGCAGTGATGCTGTGGGGGGTGGGGATGGAGGGATGGATGGAGGGAGGGAGGGAGGCATTGGCGAAGGCGTGGAACTCTCTCCCCCCTTCCCCCCTCTCTCCCCACTTTGAAGACCTTCCTCTTCGACCTGCGGCGGCGCTCACAGTCACCTTCCTCCCCCAACCCACCCCCCCACACCCCTCTGCCCCCCCCCCCCACTCGGCTCAGGAGCGGGCTCCGCCGCAGTTAAACTCTCCGAGAGGCGTGAAGGGCGGGGTTTAAACGCAAGTTGTTGCTGTTGTCTTCGTCATTGTCGTTGCTGGCGGAGGTATAAAACTCCCGCGGCGCTATTCAAGAAGAGAAGGAGAGTTTCTCTCTCTCTCTCTCTCTCTCGCTCTCTCCCGGTTGCTTTTGAAGCGCACGGGAGCTGGCCGGGCAGAGCAGTTGCGGACTGCGACAACCAGCCTCTGCCCGCCCCTTCCCTCCCCCCCCCCCACCCACTCCCCCCACCACCCCGCGTTGGTTGGCATTTCACAGACCCAAATACTGTACTGTGTTACAACACGGCTCCAGTCATGTGCCTGAGAGAGTGACTGACGTAGCTTTAAAAATAGAGTTCTCTGTTGAACCGAGTGCGGAGAGAGAGAGAGAGAGAGAGAGGGAAGGAGAGAGAGAGACACACAGAGAGAGAGAGAGAAATATCCTACCTCTGGCAGAAATATGCCATTATATAATCTTCCTCATTATGTCAAGTGCCAAGAAGATTGGCAGAGTAGTTGCTTGGCACAGAGTACTGCTTCCCTGAGGGAAGGGAGGGAGCGAGGGAGGGAGGGAGGGAGGGAGGGAGTGGGGGAGGAGGGTGGAGAAGGAAAGGAAGTTAGAGAAGATCTCGTGACGCCTCTCGAAATGGCAGGTGCTTGACCTGAAAACCAAACGATCTTCCTCGCTCCTCAACTAAATACGTTGCTTTCCATGTTTACCGTGATCTCCGGGCTGCAAACCTTTCCCGATGACACCTATTCGCCCGTCGCGATCGCGGCCACGATTTCTGAGCAAGAACAATCACGAGAGCAATACAAATTGCGGTCGCTCGGTCCCACCGCATCGGCTGCCGCGTTTCGGCCACAGAAACACGCGGTCAATTCACTTTACGCCACCGCGCTTTGAGGCGTCTCGAAGACGCGATAAGGCGCTATGTCAAACGCAAGGGTTGTTATTGTTTGAACCGGAGCGCGGGTGGCAGATTGACAGCGAGTTCCTCTTTAAAGACAAAGCGCGCACACACACACACACACGCACTCTCGCCCGCTCACACACACGCACGCACGCGCACGCACACACGCACAAGTGGCCCATGTTGCAAACCATCCCTCCTTTAGCTCAGAGTGACGAGTCCTCAGCTCCTGGCACAGCAACTCGCCCGTCACAGTGATGGGTGAAACAAAAAGAAAAACAACATTAAAACATGTTGACAAGGAGATGCGAGCAGCCGTGGCCGTTCGCTTCAACTCTTTGGCTCTCGCTGGTGTCAGGCGTACCGGTGGGGGGGGCGGTGGGGGGGTGGGGGGGAGAATGGCACTTTTGTTCTCTTGCCTGGGAACGGTAGCCACACGTCAGGGCTCGATACCCAAACAATGCTTACCCCCTTCTCTCCCCCTCCCCGCCCAACCCATCCGCTGGGATAAACAGGGCATCTAGTGCGTCGTCCACCCTGCCCACCATCGATTCGCACCCCCGCCCCCCCCCATATCGGGCAGGGCACATATCAACCCGTTTTACCTGGGGCATTGCTAGTCAGCAGACCAGGTCCGCGCACCAGGTCAGCACTGTATTGAGACCTGCAGCTCAGTGGATAGATTACTTGCATCGCAAGCGAGAGACCAGGGCGAGATGTTCGGCAAGTTTCCTTGCTCCACACGCTTCGGTTTACATAGCAGTAAGTGGGAACCCAGTTGTTGGTTGATCGGCGGAAGTCAATTCGCTTTGCAGTATATTCTGCGAAGCGTTTTGAGACGTCGCGAAGACGTGATAAGGCGCCGTATCAAATACAAGGATTTATTATTACCAGCCTAGACTGCCGCGACGTGGGGCTCGGACCCACAATCTTCTTCACTCAGAAGCGAGAGTGCTGCTGACTGACTGAGCCCGGCTGACTCACAACCCGGACGTATCATAGTACCAATCCTTGCATTTGATGTGGAGCCTTTATCACACGGTTGAGATGTCTCAAAGCGCTTCGCAGAATATACTGTAGAGATGAATTGACCGTGTGTTTCGCGGGCGAAACACTGCAGCCAATTGCGCACCGCAGCATTCCGCAAACGCCGGTGGATTGAGCCTTCTTTCAGCAATTCCACCCCCCCCTGAAAGGCGCCATATAAGTGCAAATGCAATTTGCTGTTGTGCCACCTCACCTTAAATTTTAAGTCATAAAAATCGCTCTCGTGGGCTGAGAGGCGCTGGAACGCGGATGGTGGCGGGATGGATATCCGTGCACATTTTAGATCGAAATCGCCTTTCACACAGTTAAACATCTGAGAGAGTGTTACAGGGCGGAATGGGAGTCCGAGCGAGGTGGGAGATACATTGACAGCTTCAGAAAGGGCTGACTCCGGCAGCGCATCCGCAATAAAAAATTTTTTGCAGCACTCGTCAGCTGAAATACTGTGGCAATTTCAACAAACGCTGCAAATTCTGCAAGCCTCTGATTCTGCAGCGCCTTCTAAAGTGTTTAACTCGTTGCTAACGTTGGGAAAGCAGCGTACACGCGGGAAGCGGTTTACACATGGAGTACGTTCAGGACGTGATTGCGGAGTCCTGTAGCGTAGTGGCGAGTTTCCTTACTCCGCACACGCACACACACACGCACACGCGCCTCTGTTTTCCCAGCAGCGGATTACACAGTCAATCCGCGTCACAGTATATCCTGTGATGAGATGCTTCGAAGACGTGACAAGGCGCTGCAATCAAATGCAAGGATTATTAATAGCATTATTCTGCGAAGCGCTTTGAGACGTCTCAACGAGGTGATGAGGTGCCGCGTCAAGCGCAAGGACTATTATTATGACACGCGGGAAGCAATGCACCCGTGGAAGATGATGTGCGCCCGGGGTGCGTGTGGGTGCGTGTGCTCCACGCTCCATTGCTTCGAGACATGTTAACGTGTTATGTTTCCTTTTGTCTTTCAGGAAAAAGTAGAATATGCCTTCCTTATAATTTTTACAATTGAGACATTTTTGAAGATTATCGCGTACGGATTGATGTTACACCCCAATGCATATGTAAGGAACGGATGGAATTTGATGGATTTTGTCATTGTAGTGGTAGGGTAAGTCGCTCTTTCGATGTGTGTCAGTGTAACCAAGAAACACGATCTTAACGATGTACGCAGGTCAGACTTGCGCAAGTTTTACTGCCGTTTGAATTTGCTACGCTGCCGCCTCATCGCATCGAAACGGCTCAAAAGATCTTCGCAAAGAGCTTCCCGTGAAGCGCGCCGACCGACATGAAGGGAGCGACCGATTTTATTTGGGGGTGGGGGGAGAGTTGGTCAGGACCCCTTTTGACTCCAGAGGCGAGAGCACTAGCACTGAGCCAGGCTCTCTCACACACACGCACACACACAAGGGGGGAAAAGACAGAAAGGATTGCTCTTTAAGACACGATGGGCCGAATGGCCTCTTTCCGTGCTGCGAACGTACGTGGCTTCATAACATTTCGACTCCTGGAAAGAGATTTCGCATTCCAGCCAGTGTAAACAGGGCACAAGAGACGGTGGCAAGCAGCAGAGATGCTCATTAGAGGGAGCTTAGCAAGGCAAGATATGGGAATCTCACAACGGAGAATAATAAAGAGAAAGATATATTTATGTATGCACTGTAGAGTATAAGACAGGCAAGACCCTGGATACACTAATCAAGCAATAAAACAGCAGGAATAGCTTTGGGGAATGGATCTGAAGAGATTGGCAAGGAGCAGAATTGGATAAAAAGATCAGGGACTCAACACACAGTCACTACACTTTACAGTGAATGCACTGAAGCGCTTCGAGACGTCCTCCCAATGTGTGAAAAATGCCGTATCAGATTCAAGTATCATCATCATCATTATTATTATTGTAATAAAAGCCATTGGGTTGGAAGCATTGCATAAAAATTTACTGTTGACCCATTTGGACGTTTGAGTCATAAAAGTAACTGATCCCACATGTTAATAGGGTTGTCCCAGACTTCAGCTCTCTGGGAACTTTTACCCTGCGTGTGGTGTGACAGTGATGCAGATGTGAAATTGATTTGTCATTTTACAACAGTGAATTTTCAGTGAGGAAAACAGACACCAACAGTCCTCGGGTGTCATAGAAACATAGAAACAGGAGGAGGTCATTCAACCCGTGACGTGGTCGTGAACCGAACCAAATACTGTATCCCCGAGATATTATTTTCTAACAGAAATCTACCTAATTTGTGCTCGAAATAATCAACATTTTCTGTTTCCACCATCTCCCTGGAGAGCCTGTTCCATACGTTTACCGCTCGTTCACTGCGGATTCGTTCTATTCTGCCATTCCGTAAGATCACGGCTGATCTGTGAAGCGCTTTGGGACGTCTAGAAGACGTGTAAAGCGCGATATCAAATGCAAGGATTATTATTATATATTATTATTATCTGTACCTCAAGTTCAGTTGTCTCGTGCCCCTTAATACCCTGACCCCACAAATATGAATCCGCTTCAGTCTTGAAAATGTGAATGGATCCAGAATCCACAGCCTTTCGGGGGAAGAGAGCCCCAGAGAGTTTCACTGTTCAAAGCGAGAAGTGGATTCGTCCGATAAATCCAATTGATTTTTCTTAAAAATCAAGAACCTGTAGTTTATGGGGCAGAAATTCTCCCATTGGATCCGGGAAATATTTTCACAGAGAGGGAGAGAGAGAGAGAGAGAGAGTGTGTGTGAGAGAGAGGGGTAAATTCAGAGCAAATTCTCAGAAACAACGAGTAGTAAACGTATGGCATAGGCTCTCCGGGGAGATGGTGGAAGCAGAACATGTTGATTAGGTAGATTTCTGTTGGAAAATAATATCTCGGGGATACAGTATTTGGTTTGGGTCACGACACGTCAAGCGACTGGCAGGATGGCAGAAGGCAAACGAGATGGACCTTGATCTGCTTTTGCCGAGCAAATTCTTATGTTCTTACGAGAAAAGAGAGGGGGAGAGAGAGAGATAAAGCGAGTGAGTGCAAGAGAGAGGGAGAGAGAATCAGAGAGGGCCCAAGCGTACTAATGAACATTGTGCTTAGATGATAGCAACGAAATCTGCAGCGTGCAAACCTGTCAGTGTTAAGAGTCAGGTGCAACGAGATAGAGAGAGAGAGAGAGAGAGAGAGAGAGAAAACGAGAGAGAGAGAGAGAGAGAGAAAAAACGAGTGCCTGCATCAATATTCATATGGTTCAGTGTGTATATAGGTCAGGTTGTAAATTTGGTGTGCTTCCTGCATGCATTTGCTTGCTCATGACTCACTGTTAAGAGGAGTTATTTCCATTTCATCCGAACTGATACCACCGCCGGTGCCGTGTTATTCAAAGGAGACTGTTCACAAAACAACCGCCTTAATGATCCACTGCGAAAATGACACTTCAACAACCACGGCGACAACAACTTGCATTTATACCGAGCCTCTCGCGCGGGGGGGGGGGGGGGGGGGGCTAGCGACCCGGTGCACTCGACGGTGGCGGAGTCCGACCCGAAGCCAGGGGGAGAGAGGGAGGTCGAGGGAGGGAGGGAGGGCGGTCGAGGGAGGGAGGGAGTGGGGGCGAGGTGGAGAGGGCGAGGGAGCACAGCTGGATGCCTTCAATCGGAACGCCTTGTTTAATGGTTGATCAGTCAGCCCTGCGTTTTGGTGTGTGGTTAAGCTTGTGGGCGGACTGCGGCTGTGCCGGGCTCTGCCCGTTTCGCGGCTCTGTTAACTGGAACGGAGAGGGCCACTCGGTGGCACGTTTGATATGTACCTCATTGCACCTACACCAAGATATCCATGTCGCACCTCCTCTTCGATCTCTCTCGCTCTCCTCCTCTCTCCTACCCTCTCCTTCCTCAACTCTCCTCCCCTCCCTCTGTCTCTCTCTCTCTCTCTCTCTCTCTCCCCCTCCCTCTCCCCTCTCCTCCTGCGATATATAATAATAATAATAATAATAATAATACTCATCATCATCCTCGTATTTGATACAGTGCCTTTCAATTTGGGAAGACGTCTCAAAGCTCTACAGTTACAGGATTTCACTGTGAAGTGTAGTGACTGTGTATTTTGTAGGCAGATGGTTTACAAGGACATAGGGGGAGGTGGGTGGGGGGGTGGTAGTGGGGGGCGGGGGGGGGGGGGGCGTGCTGAAATCCCTGTAGAGGAGAGGAGGGGCGGAGGGAAGCGACTGAGCTGTTTCCCGGGCAGGACACAGTTAATGACTGAGCCCCAGCGCTCTGTGTCTCATTCACCTTCACTGTGCCGGTCTGCGGATTGATTGATTGGCTTTCATTAACTTTACTTCTCGCCCCCCCCCCCCCACTCCATTCCCCCTCTCCCCCCCACCATCGTTACATTTACTCTGCTCTGCCAGCCCGAGACTCACACCGTTCAGCATTAGTTGATTGAAGCTGCAGATGCGCAGTGTGAGCTGACGTGAGCTGCCCAGGAAATCTATGTCCCGCGATAATAGCTAATTACAGCCGGCACGTGCCGAGCCAGCGTATCCACCAGGGAGGGAAGAGAGGCAGAATAAAATTGCACATGAGGAATACTTGCCATCTCTCTGTCTACGCACAGTCTCTCTGTGTATGCAGTCTCTCCGTCTGTACACAGTCTCACTGTGTACACGCAGTCTCTCTGTGTAACGCACAGTCTCTTACGTACATGCAGTATCCGCATGCAAAAACAAACTCTACGTACATATAGAGTCTCTACATTTATACGCAGTCTCTATGTGTATATGCAGTCATTACGTGTTTGAGCAGTCTTCATGTTTGTACAAGTCTCTGCGGTTACATAACATAAGAAATGCTAAGACGAAAAAAGACCAAGGTCCCCATCTTGTTCGCCTTCCACCTTCCTGGTGGTCGCTCCCTATGTGCTATATCCCACAATGTTATATCCCTAAAAGAAAACTATCTAATCTGTGTTTGAAGGAATCAACATTTTCTGCTTCAACCGTCTCCCTCGGGGGCGCCTGTTCCACAAGTTCACTATTTGGTCACTGAAATTCGTTCTGAATTTAAACCCTTCAATCGCAAGTCGTGTCCTCTGGTTTTTCCATGTATACCCGGGCTGAGAGTCTTATGGCAGTCATGGGTCATGAGGGTCTAATGATAAATGTACGGTTGTTGCTGTTACTTCAATGAAACAATTGCTATGTTTAGGTGTGAAGGTGATTTAATCTTTCCCCACTACAGAATCTCATCCTTTTTTGCAAACAAACCCTCCCCCAGTGAAAGAGTGAAGGTGGACCCTGGAAGTAACCATAATAATAATCCTCGCATTTGATAGAGCGCCTTAGCACTTCATTGAGACAACAACGGGAACAAAGTACATTTTACACCGCGCCTTTCATGTCGGGAGGACGTCCCGAGGTGCTGGACAGTCAGGGATGTGGACCTGAGCAGGCGGTTGGGATCCAAGCGCTTCACAAAATATATCGTAAAGTGGAGTGACTGTGCATGTTGCGGTAGAAACTCGGCAGCCTATTGCGCAAAGCAGAGTCCCGCAAACAGTGGTGGACTGAGAGACTCAATATATTCTTTAGGAGGGATTTTTACCGCTCGAGAGTGATCCCCCAATCGACTAAAAACCGGGATCCTACTCACTGCAGAGGGGTAACCAGAGCCGCGCGCGTGCGCGTGCGTGTGCGTGGAGTGGGGAACCTTGGCCAAGGCTCCGTCCCGCCCGGGAATCGAATCCGGGCGAGCGCTCTAAACCTGTGAGCGGCAGGACTCCGCAGTGGAAGGTTGTGCTAATCCCACCGCTGTGGGTTTTGTGGTTTATGTTTTCAGCTTGTTTAGTGTTGTCTTGGAACAAGTAACCAAAGTGTCAGACGGAGAAGGACACGCGGCTGGTAAATCAGGCGGCTTCGACGTCAAGGCCCTCCGCGCTTTCCGTGTCCTGCGACCTCTCCGGCTGGTGTCCGGCGTGCCCAGTAAGTGCCCGCGACCATTCGTGCCGCAGCCCAACGCTGCCTTCATCTCACAACCAGACACGCCTTCAACCATTCCGCCCTCTCCCCCCCCCCCCCCCCCCAACCACCCCCTCGCCCTCTGGAACTCCATCCCCCAAATCCCTCCGCCTCGCTCCCTCCCTCGCCTCCTTCAAGGCTCGTCTCAAGACCTCTTTCTTCGATCGTGCTCTCGGCCGCCCACCTCCCATCCCCCCATTCCCTGCCCTCCACCCCTCCTGATTTCATCTGCCAGCTTGGGTGCAAACCCTTGACTGTCCAGTGCCTTAAGATGTTCTTCTGATGCGAAGGTGCTGTGTAAATGTAATTTTGTTGTTGTTGTTGCCTTACCTGACCCCAACTTTGTGGCTGTTTTTGTGGGGGATGTTTTGGCTGCAAAAAATACACAACAATAATAATCCTTACATTCGATAATAATAATATTAATTATTATTATTATTATTATTATTACGTTCGGTACAGCGTCTTTCACATCAGGTGGACGGTCGCTCGCATCACCTCAAAGCGCTTCGCAGGATGTACTGTAAAGCCCAGTGACTGTGTATTTTGTGGGCGAAAGGCGAGAGCCGATTTGCACACAGCAACGTCGCCACAAAGCCGTGAAGCGAATGACCAGTTTTATTTGGGGGATTGTCGGCCAGGACACCAGGAGGGAGCGGGCCGGAGGAGACCTTTAACGCCATGAGACCTTTAGCGTCCACCTGAACAGGCACGGACCGGAGCTCGGTTTAACGTCTCCTCTGAACGACGTCACCTCTGACAATTCAGCTCTCCCCCCTCCACCGCCCCCCACCCCCCATCACTGCATTGGAGTCTCAACTTAGACTATATTTGAGTTCCAAATCCCGACGTGGGGTTTGAGCTCACAGGCTTCCGACTCAAGGCAAGAATTTGTCTATCGACAGGACGAATTCCTCCCAGTTCTAGATTTACTGCGTTATTAAACCATGGTCTTAATTCGGAAGCCGGTATCCTGCAAGACGCTGCAGACAATGAAATTGACTTCAAAGTTAAGACCGAACGCGACGATTTGCCAATTTCTAGACGTTCTGAAATGCTACATAAATAGAGTTAAAAGGAAGTCTAGAACTGGATGGAATTCTTTACCCGCCCCAACGTCTCTTAAAACTTTTTAACGAGTTTCAATCAAATTAAAATGACAGTTGTTGCGCTTTACTGATGCTTCGGAGGGGAAGTTTGTATCTTTGAAATGAGTCCAGAATCCGATGCGCTTCAGGGGCGAAACCTACTGATAAAACGTGAAGATTTATGTTGCTCGCTCGCTTCCCAGCACTTGGATGGAACGTGTGATAACTCCTCACGCCCCCTCCCACCAACCCCCGCAAAAAAGATAAACCCTTCAAATTGACACCACGAGCGGCCAGTGAGATTTTGAGAGAACTTAATGTGCTTGTTTGTGTATTTTTCTTCCTGATGGGCTTGTGATAATCGAGCTTTGAAGAGGGGGGGACAACAGTTATTTTAGTTTTCTAACCGGACGAACAAAAAAAACAGCTCGTCGCGTTGCACAGACTGAATTTCTCTTTGACAGTCATAATAACTCTTGTGCTTGCGTTCGGTGTCTCATCGTCGAAATGTCTCGCAGGATTTCACTCAGTTTCCTGTAGGAGCCAAATGTGCCAGGCCATTTACTCAAAGCAACAACAACAACAACAACAACAACAACAGCAGCAAAATGTGGATTATTTTGCAGCGAAACTGGTCGTTCGCTCCTCTGCTGCATGTGGCGACATTTCCGTGAGCCCTCCGAGACACTCCCGAGCCCCGGTGAAGGGCACCATGTAAACGCAAGTTGTTGTCGACATCGTGCGTAGCAAATTGGCCGCCACATTTGGCAGTGAATCCATTTGACAAGTAACTGCGCGAAGTGCTCTGAGACGTTTTTGCCGATGAGACAAAGCGTGGTATGAAATTTGTAACACCTTATACGCTTCAGCACAGCTTTATTGACGGTATATCTAACGCCCCTGTTTTTCCGTGTCTCACAAAGGTTTACAAGTCGTCTTGAACTCCATCATCAAAGCCATGGTTCCTCTTCTCCATATTGCCCTATTGGTACTGTTTGTTATTGTCATCTATGCCATCATAGGACTGGAGCTGTTTATAGGAAAAATGCACAAAACCTGTTTCATCGGCAACACAGGTAAGAGCGAACGAACGAACGAACTCATCACTCGCTCACTCACTCACTCACTCACTCACTCACTCACTCACTCACTCACTCACTCACTCACTCACGCACAAACAATTTCCTCTCACCATAAATTAGTGATTCACCTGATGTTTTGGGGACATTGCTGTGTGCAAATTGGGCTGTGGGTGCCTGTAAAATATACAGTCACTACAACTTTATGGAAATATATCCGTGATACAAATGCTGTGTCGAATGCAATGTCCTAAATCCACTTCAACCTGCCACTGGTGGGATTATTTGTTATGCAGAGCACATTTCTCTTTCTCTCTCTCGCTCTCTCTCCCTCTTTCTCTCCCTCTATATCTCTCGCAAGACAATTTGGCGATGATGAGATTTATTCCACTTACAGAGAGTGAAATATATGTATGGCGTCCTCTCAGTTCTTTGTTCTGTCTTGAAATGTGACAGATTTGTGGGGGAGCATTCCCAAACAGGTCAAACTAACAACTTTTTGGAACCTGAACGTCTCTCCAACTTCGGGGAAAAAATGCCTTGAAACAGACCAAAGACAACAGAAGCGCCAGATTTTTCTATCAGCCTCACAGCGCCGACGAAGATTTAACATTGCAAAGATGCCTTTCAGTAATTAACCCCCTCCCACAGAAAAAATGTTTGCCAATTGAAATTGGATTTAAATCAATTGAACGTAATTTAATTCAATTAAAAAAGGTAACGTAAATTTACACAGCGAGTATCTGGATTACGTTGTCTGAAAGGCCGGGGGAAGTCGATTCGATAACAACTTTTAAGGGAGAACTAGATAATTATTTGGGAATGACAAGTTTGCGGGGCTATGGGGAGAGAGCGGGGGAGTGGGATTGACTTGGAAGCTCTTTTCAAAGATAGGCCGAATGGCCTCCTCCTGCACTGTATAATTCTACGATTCTATGAATTCTAAGCCGGTTGCAGTTTTCCGATCGCATTGTAATATTAATAATAATAATAATAATCATAACTATAACCCTTGCATTTGATATTGCACCTTATCACGTCGTCGAGACGTCTCAAAGAGCTTCACAGATTATACACGCATTAAAGTGTAGTGCCTGTGTCTTTCGGCCGTGAAAGGCGGCAGCCAATTGCGCACAGCGGCGTCCCACAAACAGCCAAGGATTGAGCGACCGGGTTTTTTGTTGCGCGGGGGGTGAGGGGGGGGGGGAGTGCTCGGTTTCGGTTTTAAGAAGCTGGGAAACACAGGGAAAGGAGGAGGCCATTCAGCCCACTGAGCCTGTGCCCCCAGTTTATCAGATTTGTCAGATCTGTTTAATCCCAACTGCCCTGCCCATCCACATGTGGTATGGAGCGGGAGCTCCGCTCTGCATTCATTTGTTACACTAATTGCCCTCCTGTGGCCTTCCGTTCCCAGGTATTTTAGCAGAAGAGGATCCAGCGCCATGCGCTTTCTCAGGGAATGGTCGTCCATGTTCCATCAACGGCACAGATTGCAGGGGGAACTGGCCAGGGCCGAACGGAGGCATCACCAACTTTGACAACTTTGCCTTTGCAATGTTAACCGTCTTTCAGTGCATCACCATGGAAGGGTGGACGGACGTCCTGTACTGGGTGAGTGGCCGGTCGGGCTGGGCGGCGGGCGTCTGAGGGTAACTCAACTCGAACCTGCGCTCGGGAGTGTATCTCACGTCTCGTCGTTGTCTATCTTAAGCACGCAAGAGGTACGCACGACGCTGCTTGTGGTCTGTCTCTCTCCCAGTGCTGAAAGCCTCACTCGTTAAAGATTTCCTTCCGCTTCCAACCCCCTCCCGATCCCCTCTCCCCGCACCCCACATACGCACACGCGCGCACGCACACATACACACGCCTCTGTTCCCTTCTCTCTCCTGTGCACACAATTTTACTCTGATTTAGAAGGTTGTGGGTTCAAGGCCCCCCCCCCATGTCAGGGACTTAGGAACGGACACTCGATGTGGGGGTGGGGGGGGCGGTGGGGAGGGTGTGTGTGCTGCATTGTCGAAGACTCCGTCCTTTAGATGGGATGTTAAACCAAGCTCCCTCTCTGTGCCTGGTCAGGCAGACGTTGAAAGATCCCGTGGCCCTGTTTGGAAGGAGAAGGGAGTCTCTCTCCCTCTCCCGGGGTCCCGGCCGTCCATCTCGCCCCCGGATAAAGTCGGTCGTCCAGTTCGCGGCTGCCTGTGGGACACGGTTGTTGCGTTCACGTGCAAAGCACCCAGTCACTGCTCTTACTTTACAGTAAAATCCCGCAAAGTGAAGTGGAGCTTTCTGAGGCGTCCTCCCACTTTACCAGCCGCTTCGACAAACGCAAGGATTATTATAATAATTAGCGATACTATTGTTATAATTACCAATATTATTACTAATGTAACTAGAATTCAGCGCACCTCCAGTCTGCCTCTTGCACATAACCTCCTGTCACCCCTACAGATGCAGGATGCCATGGGATATGAATTGCCGTGGGTCTATTTTGTCAGTCTCGTCATCTTTGGATCTTTTTTCGTTCTTAATCTTGTGCTCGGTGTTCTGAGCGGGTAAGCAGATGCTTCCTATTGTCTGGACAGCAAAGTCCTGCCTCCAGTTGCAAAGAAGCAAAAAATAAATAACGACCAGCCAACCCCCCACCCCCCCAAAAAAACAAACCGCCTCACGAGAGCCGAGACGGAGGTGAGAGGGAAGAGTGGAGCTTGTGTCGATGCCCCATTCATACTTGCAGTTTGCCGCTGCAGTCGGCTGAGATGTGGCCGGCAAAACACAGGCGGTGAGTGTACCGGGAGCTCCCAGCCCAAAATACCAGCCCGGCTTCCGTGTTCCACGTCCCGTGTTGAGCCCTGCACAGCCTGGACGCTGATCGGGAGCGCAGACTTCGGCACAAGTGGGAGCGGGGCATCTGAATGCCTCTCCCCTGTCTCCTTACCCACCCCCACCTTTTCTCACTGCTGCCCGGGATTGTTTTATGGGGGGGGAGGGCAGCAGGGGGGAGGGCAGGGGGGGTGTCCCTTGCGGGCGACAAGGTGAAGGGGGCATCTGCTTCAGAGGTTCTGCAATTATATATGGGTTCCCTTGGATTTGGTATCTCAGGGCTCAGGCAACTGGCTCCAGGACTTTGTGGCTTTTTACGGCATAAATAACCATAACGGGTACTTTTTCACTCTTTCAGGTCAATGATGCTATTGGATTTGAAGTGCCGTGGCTGTATTTTGTTAGTCTAATCATCATAGGCTCCTTCTTTGTACTTAACCTAGTTCTGGGTGTGCTCAGTGGGTAAGCAGTTGAATTGAATTCGGTGTTTTTGTTTCCTTTCGCTTGAGGTGTTCTCTTCTTACAAGACCCAAAGCGAGCTGGGCTGGGCTGGGGTGGGGTGGGAGGTTGGTGTGTGGAGGTTCGGGGGCTGAGCGGGAGCGGAGGCGAGGGAGGTGGGGGTGCTGCTCTTTTGTCTTGTGCATGTGCACCCCGAAGATTGCACCTCACTGCTGTTTTCCCGCAGGTTTTGCTTGCCAGACTGGGGCTTGCATGCATGCGTATGTGTGGGGGGGGGGGGGTGATTCGTTGACCGCTTTTGTTTTGAGATAACAAGTCGCTCACCGACACGGTGAGAGATGTGCTGCACGTGGCTTTTCACCTGGACTGGGAGTTGTTGTGTGCGTGTGCGTGTGAGTGCGCGTGTATTTTGTGGTTTGCTGTTGACGTTGTTGCGATGGGAGAGTGTCGGATCACAAACCGGCCTCTTTTCCAGGAGTTTGCTGTCAACTCCAGGATGGTGGGTGTTACACCCTTGTTCTGTGGTCCTTTGTTGCTCTCTCTCTCTCTCCCCCGTGCTTAATACTATTCCGCAACTCTCTCCTGAGTTGGGGTAGGTTTGCTGGTCGGAGCAGTTTTCCCTGTGGATTCAGTGGGGTGGGGTGCGAGCGGGACCTTGTCTTGCGTATGAAATTCCATTATCTTCCTGGGTGTCAGGGGAAACATGGGACTCGCATAGTCCAGGCTGACGCCCCAATGCAGCGCTGGGAGTGTGCTTCACTGTCGGAGGTGCCGTCCTTCGGGCGAGATGTTAAGTCGAGCTCCCCGTCTGCGTTAAACATCCCACGGCGCCACTCGAAAAGAGAAGAGGAGTTTCTCTCTCCCATTGTCCTGGCCGATAATCCCTCAGATAAATTGGTCCTTCGCTTCAGTGGCTGTTGTGCACAAATTGGCTGGCGTGTTAGCCTCCAGAACGCACAGTCGCTGCAAGCGAAACCCACCGTGTACCAAATGCAAGGATTATTATGATTATTTCATCTTCTCTACGAAGTGGGTCCTCCGGACTTGGACGCGCACATGTGTCCTGATAGCTTCAGGGCTAGACAAGCTAGAACCCAGTGTGCGCGTGTGGTTCTCACTGCAGAATTTGCTCTGGCACGGACGGACTTTGCGGGGGTGGGGGGGGGAAGAAAATGAACCTCAACTTTATACATCCTCTTCCACTTGGCATTGGATTGATCAGAGGCCTAACACCAATGTTTTTGAAGACAAAATAGTTCAGCGGGCTCAGGGTAGGTGGAAATTTGGGGACTCACATTGTGTGTTGTGGTGGGGGGGCGGAGGGTTGAGGGGGTGGGGGGGGGGGAAGAAAACAGATGATGACGGAGAGGAGTAGGGAAATGCGGTCGCCTTTTATTCACTCTGCCAACTCACTGCGGGATCCCAGAAGGTAGGAAAGTGTGGGTTGTGTGTGTGTGTGTGATGCGCGCTATTGCAAACCACGCAGCTGACAGTGCTACTGTGGATCTGGTGAGCTCAGGCATCGCGCTGACAGCTTACATCACACGTGTGGAGGTGTGAACAGTGATTTATTGCTTAATAGCCCATGGGTCTCAATGATGGAAGTACTTTGGAATATCTTTACGTCCGATCCAATCTCCCCCAAACAAACACTCTCTTGTCAAGATGACTCCGCTATCCTGTGCTATCCACTTCCTCCTCAATGATAGTTCTCTCTCTTTCTCTCTTTCTCTCCTGATCCATCCCTCTCCTCGGCTGCCCTCTCCCCGCCGTCCTTACGCTTTCCAAGACGCTAAACTGCGTGAAGGGGGCTGGACGAGCACAAGTTGTTGTTGTTCTTTCTCTGCTCCTTGACTGACTGTCGTTGTCTGTCGAGCGGTGGGTACTTTGGACTATTTGTTTCAAGGAAGGAAAACGACCACTGCCTGAATCCACGCCATTTCTAAGGGCGAAATCACCATCGCCTGACAAATTGCACGGTGGTTGGATTTGGTGATGGCAGCCCAGCTCAGTCGGTAGCACTTTCACCTCTGAGTCAGGTTGCAGGTCACTTCGCTCCCCCCTCCCCCCCACCTCCTCACGCCTCAAAGCTTCGAACTCCAATGCATTGATGGGCTCCACTGCATCGGTGGAGGTGCTGCCTGTTCTGATGGTTCTTAATGATCCCAAGGCACGATTCAAATAGAGAAGGGAGTTTCTCTCCCTGGATAAAAATTGGTCGTTCACTTCACGGCTGCTTGCGCCATGTTGCTGTGCGCAAATTGACTGTTGTGTTCACCCACAAGATACACAGTCACTACACTTCACAGTGCATCCCGTGAAGAGCTTTGAGACGTTCCTCTCGACTTGAAAGGCGCCGCAGCCATCAAATGTAATTTTTTTTTATTGCTTAAAGTTAATTGCAAATTATAACCTATTAATTAAATTCAATTCAATTCAATTACGGTGTGAATAAGGTAGCCTTGTATCACAAGTGGAGCAGCGGTTCACCTTAACGAAATAAATTCAAATGTATTTGCTCTTTTAGACGATAATGGCCACAGCGTTACGCTTTGTATGAGAACGTGCTTTATTCTCTGATCTTTTGCTTGTGATCAATTTGAAGTGTATTGTGAGTTATTGGAGTCCTGTAGCTCAGTGGTTTGAGCGACTTGGGTCCAATTCCCGGCAGAGCAAAACCTTAGGCAAGTTTCTTTACTCCACACGCCTCTGTTTACCTATCAGCAAGTAGGAACCTGGTTGTTAGTCGATTGGCGGATCGCTTATCCGGGGGTTATCATTCCTTCAAAAAAATAATAATAATAATCATTTGGTCATTTAATCCACGACTGTTTGTGGGACGCTGCCGTGTGCAATTGGCTGCCATGTTTCGCCCACAAAATACGCAGTCAATTCAATTTACAGTGTATCCTGTGAAGCGCTTTGAGACGTCTCAAAGACGTGATAAGGCGCTGTATCAAATGCGAGGATTATTATTATTATTATTATTGGCAGCCTCATCCTATTCCTCTGGGACTCCCTTCTCCCTCCCTCGATCCTCCGCTCTACCTCTTCCCCTCCCTCGCTATCCACCTTTTTTTCTTCCAGCTCATTGCCTGTAGCTCGCAAGCATATTGGGGGCAGCGCGGAAGTCCGCAAATCAATTCGTGACCCCGGCGACTTCGTTAGAAATACCAATTAAGCCAACTAATTAATCAGGGCTTTAATTAGCCACCCTATGTGAATGACCTAATTTCAACCAGGTTTTATCCGAGATGAAAGCCGGCCACTTTGTTTTGCGTCTGTCCCGTTTGATTTTCTTACCCTGGAAAGACAATAAATACACAGCGAGGGTAGAGTGCATCAGGTTGGAGGGCTCTGGGTTAACAGCAAAGGGATGTCTTTGATCCCCTTTCGAGACATCTCCCCGACGTGAAAGACCGCGTGTCGCAGTTGTAAGGTTTATTATTGTTGTTTATTGGTTGTGGTTGTTGTTGTTGTTGTTATTGCGGTGGACGATGAAGTCACCGGAATGATACCAGGGCTTAAAGCGTTAAATTACGAGGACAGGTTTCATAAACGCGGTCTGTATTCCCTGGAGTTTAGAAGGGTGAGGGGTGATCTGAGTGAGGTTTTTAAAATAATAAAGGGATTTGATAGATCATGGCTGATCCAGAGAAACTATTTCCTCTGGTGGGGGAATCCAGGCCAAGGGGGGCATCATATTAAAATTTAGGGGTGGAATCAGGAGGTAGTTTTTTGCCCAAAGGGTAGTGGAAATCTGGAACTCTCTCCCCCAAAAGGCCAGGCTTTGTGTGCCGGATCCATTCACGTCTTCAAGGCTGAGGTGGTCCGCTACTTGTTCGGGTATTAAGGGATATGGAGCAAGGGCGGGCGATTGGACTTGAGGCACGGATCAGCCATGCTTTTATAGAATGGCAGAACAGGCTGGAGGGGCTGAATGGCCTCCTCCTGCTTCTACCTTTCTTTGTTTCTGCGAAGGGAATGCAGAATATTTGGACAGACAGACAGACAGAGAGAGAGAGAGAGAGAGAGAGATAGAGGAAGGATTGCACTGAGATTCTTTGAGTTGTGGAGTCTGACAGTCTGTGTGAGAGCATCCAGAAGCTGATGAATACGCTAAACGGCTTCAGGGCGCTTCATCGTGGCTGACATTTTGTGGCACAGTGACATCTGCTGCGAAACGTTATTTTCATTTTCCTCTCTTAACGTACTCCTGTTTTTTTTCATTTATCCTATTTCCCATCTCTCTCTCTCTCTCGCTCTCTCTCTCTCTCTCTCTCTCACTCTCAGAATAACACACAGTCGATTCACTTCGCAGTACATTCTATGAAGGGCTTTTTAAGACGTCTTAACCACGTGATAAGGCGCTCTATCAAATGCAAGGATTATTATTATTATTATTATTATATATTTTTTTAAAATTGCAAGTAAAACGTCGTGAGGGCATCCGATTGCATTAAGCGCATCGATGTACGTTGATACGGGCCGCAAAGCTGGGCCTTAACACTGAGATATTAGCCCGGATTCCGTTATGATTATTTACCATTCTCATTTTTGCGGCTGTTGGTGACGGCGATAAAATTCCTCGCGACGAGACCCGCAGCCCGTGGAACTGAACCGGGATTCTGTTCCAAACTCGTGCCTGCTGCGGTGGGGTCGATTCAAACGCCCTCGGGTTTGGGGCGGTTGGCGGGGGGGGAGGGAGAGTGGGTGGGGGGAAGAGAGAGAGAAAGAGAGAGAGAGAGAGAGGGAGAGAAGGGGGAAGGGGGAAGGAGAAACGGGGGGGAAGGGGCGAGGGGGGGTGGGGGGTGGCAGGGCTCAGTGTGATGGACTGAACTCTGGGATGTGCAATCTGTCTGTTCCGATCAAGGTCGGGGAGTGTACCCCATCTCCGGCACTGTGTTCAGCTCAGCAGGGGAACGAATTGAGGGCTTCACGTCCGCAGCTCACCAACTGAGCAACCGACCCGAGGGGTGAAGGGTGATCCGCAACCGATCTCCGCAGAGCTCTGCGATCAGATCCGAGGATCGTTCATTTGATTCCCATCAAGCCCCTTGCTAGTAACCCCTCGAGGCATCTGGCTCCCAGAAATTCCGATATTTTTTCCTTGCTGCGATGATTTTAGAAGGACGAGACAGAAGGATTCGCGTCGCTCGCTCGTTGCGTGGCTTTCAGCGGTCCGGGGGGGTGGGGGTGGGGGGGGGGGTCCTCGCAAAATCGGGCCGCGAGGGACACACGGCCACTACACTTCACAGGAGAAAAAAATCGTGTAAATGTTTCGAGTGCAGCGACAACAAGGACAAAGCAAGGCATTTATACGGCGCCTTTCACATCGGGAGGACAGCTCAATGCGCTGCTCAAACATGTTTCTGCTGTGAAAGGTCCTGGATCCACTGCAAGGGGATGATTATTATTTTGATCACTGCAGTAAACTTCTGCTAACTCAACCCTATCTTATCTAGTCTCTAACACTTAAGTCATCATGCTGTCAATACCTTGCTCGCATTTATTTATCTATTTACACGCCCGCCTGACTCACCTAACTCCTAATAACTCGGCGCTGAGGCTGAGAAGCGTTTTGAGACGTCTGGGGCGATGTGATAAGGCGCTGTATCAAATACCAGAATTATTAGTAGTAGTATTTTTATAATATGATTATTACTTGGTTGCCAAGGCGTTAGGATCTGGAGGAAACATCCAGACAGCAGGGATTTACACATCAGAGCAGAGCGCAAGTCGATTCTCGGTGTAATTGTATTTTGTTAGACAGCCAAGCCTAAGCCTTACGAGAATATTAGAGTTCACTGGACGTTGTAGGTCTCGAAGTTCAGAACGTTTTACAAGGACGTGGCTTAAGCCAGGGTTTGTGACTGTTGGCATCGGGATAGTGTTCACAGCGGACGCGCGCGCGTGTGAGTGTGGGCGGGTGTGAGTGTGTGAGACTGTGTCTGTGTGAGTGCGTGTGTTTGTGTGAGGGTATTTGTGTGTTTGTGTGAGCGCGTTTGCATGAGACTGTGCGCGCTTACGTGTGTATATGAGCGCGTGTGTTATGCGAGTGTGGATTGATTTGCCTTCGTGCTTGCTGTTGAGGGAGGAATGAAGGAAGGAGAGGATCTTGAGGAGGGTTCAGTTGCATCCTGCCTGAGCGAGAGAGAGAGAGCGCCCTGACTTTGAGATGAGATGAACTGACCCTGTGATTACAATAACTCTGAGATTACATGTTGTGGTTGTTGGTGAGCAGGGCTCTGACTTCATCAACCGTTTAAAGGTTACAGTCGATGACCAAACGTTCTTACGGCCTGAAATTCCACTGAATATCTTTAGCCTGTAAACAGATTTAGTTTTGATTTTGCCTTGAAATCCAAACCGGCGTAGGATTGTGCGGGAAATATATTCCCCTTTTGAGAGACCTCACATTAATGTAAAATCCATCGCAAACAATTACCAATAATTACGGTTGAGGCTGTGCTTGTTTTTTTTTCTTACATTCTTTCTCTCTCTCTCTCTCTCTCTCTCTCTTTTTGCCGCCACCTCCCTCTCTGATTGAAACTCTCCTCCTCTCTCCCCTCTCTCTTGCTGTACGAATCGCCCAGTGAATTTTCTAAAGAGAGAGAGAAAGCCAAAGCCAGGGGAGACTTTCAGAAGCTACGGGAGAAACAGCAGCTTGAGGAGGACCTGAAGGGATACCTGGACTGGATCACACAGGCCGAGGACATTGACCCTGAGAACGAAGAAGATGGAGGCAACGAGGAGAAGAGAAATCGTGAGTCGCTTTTACATTTACCGATGCACGGCCGAAGCGGGGGGGGGGGGGGGACTGTTAACGTGATCGACGCTAACTTTGTTTGCTCTGGTGTGGGGTTTTTTATGGTGGTGGGGAGGGGGGTTGGTTTATTGGTCAGCCTCCACGTGTCTTGACAAGTGTCGCCGCGCTTAAGAGTCTCCAAACCCAACTGAGAATTCCATGCGTCCCACCTGCACGTGTTTTGCTGTGCTACAGAGTGAAAATAGCGTCCGTACCGTTCAGCTAGCGCAGGGGCAGCAAGAGGGTGGGGCGACCTCTTTGGTCGGCCAACAAAATAAATGTTACTCGCTTGAATATTTTCTCGATTTACAGCGTAACTCTACCCTACAGCAAAACTCACACAGGTTGGGACCGTAACAATTAACACGACTCGTGCAAAGCCTGAGTTGCGGCAAACCTGCGCGTGCGGCTGCAAAATTATTCGGGGAGGGCAAGTTTGCAGGGCTATGGGGAGAGAGCGGGTGGTGGGGGGGGGGGGGAGTGGGGTTGATTTGGAAGCTCTTTTCAAAGAGCCGGCACAGACACGATGGGCCGAATGGCCTCCTTCTGCGCTGTATGATTCTATGATGACTTGTGTAAAGTTATGTGCAAGTCGGGTTTTATAATGGACTCACACGTGCAATGTTTTGATGTTTCTACGATTAGTTTTTGGCCAACCTTTTTTGCTTGACCAATAAACTGGTCGTTTAAACTCGCCCCTGGGGTCACGCGAAGGATATCTCTCGTCACAGTGATTTCCTGCTCTCACAATTCCCGTCTATTCCTGTTCCTCTCCGCGTCGAGTTCCTGCAGGACATGCGACACACTTCAGTTACTGGAGAGAATCTCTCCACCTCCCCTCCTCTCCCCTCCCCTTCCCTCCCCTCGGGTTCCTGATTAAAACGAATCCCGTTAAGGAATACCGCAGATGAGATCGCAAGATCGTTTCTGGTAAAAGAAGTCCCTTCAGCCCACGTGCGATTTGAAACGTCAATAAAAATGCAAATCGTTTGCTGTTGTTTTAATTTAGCCCTTAATTTACTCGAACAGTGCATTCGAGCACAAGTGAAAGAGCTACCGTGTAGTCCCACTGCCCCGCGCTGCCCCTTTTCATTTTCGTTCCTTTCAAGTACCCGCACCCCCAAAACCACACCGTCAATTCACTTCACCGTATATTCCGTGAAGCGCTTCGAGACGTCTCGAAGACGTGATTCGGTGCTGTGTCAAACGCGAGGGTTATTTATTGATATTTGTAATCCAATTCCCTTCTGAAAGTGATTGGTGAATCGGCCTCCGCCACCCTCTCAGGCGGTGCTCTCCAGACCCTACCAACTCGCCATTTATTAAGCGTTGGCCAAGCAATCTTTACCGATCAAAGATAAACCTGATCTGATCATCCCCTGTCTTGCCTCTCGCGAGTGCCACCCACCCTCCTGTCCGCCTCCCTTACCGGCTGCCACCCCAAAGGCAGAAACGTGACAACTCTCAAGACGCAAACCAGGCAAATAATCCCTCTTGACTCTGCCGCTCACGTTTGTCACGCTGCATCTGCTTTGGTGTCTGACACGTCTTTAGGTGACTGAGAATGGCACTCGGGTGTCGCCGAGGCTGTTTATTTTCCGTTAAGGCTACAAAAAAAAAGTGTCAAGAGACCCAATGCTCCACCATTAAAACACAGACCAGTCTCCCTTCCACAGGGTGACCAAAAAGTCGCGATCCCACCACAATATCTGATAAGTCTTAATCAAAGTGATGATTTATTTTGTAGATAACAGGGTAGTCATTATGACTATTTGGTCACCCTGTGTAAGAACTTAAGAATTTACTGGGCTGAAGAAGACCAAGTTCCATCCAGTTTGCCTTCCGCCATCCTGAGAGTCACTTGGCATGTCGTGTCCCAAACTATATGTGTGTATTCCAACCCTCAAATGAGCACGTTTGAAAACTGTCGGCCAGGACACGGGGAGAAAGTCCTTTCGAACGCTACCGGGGGAATAGACAGAGCCTTGGGTTTAATGTCTAGCCTCCGACAATACGACACCACACTGGAGCTTCAGCCTAGGCTGCGAGCTCCAAACACCCAACCTCCCCCCCTACCCCACCCTCCCACAACAACCCCCAGCCCGGCCCACCCCCATCCGCCAACACCCACAACCTTCCCGTCACACGCAAATCGAGGGGAGCAAAAGGCCCGTCTCTCGACTGGACTCGATCCCGTTCAGTGGAGATAAAAATCACGGCACACATCCAATTCCTTCAACCTGCTTTGCCTGATCCGTGCAGTGTCTGCAGCTCATTTAATTAAACGCTTAAAACAGTCGGGCTATAAACTTAACGAGCGAGGGGCAGATAAAGAAGGCCCTTCCGCCCACGTTTGATCTCGCCCTCTAGGAATGTTATCTGCCCACGACGGATTACTTACCCGCCTCCCGCCCCCGTTGTAAGCTCAGTGCCATCCTTTTATTTTAAACGGAATCCTGCTAACCACTGATCTGGACACAACCTATGCACAGTTATGCACTGAAGTTGTTCAGCGGCCAGTGAAGCCCTCCAAACATTGGGCAGGTTTCCTTACTCCACGCACACGCCTCTGTTTACCTGGCAGTAATTAAGTGGGAACCCGCTCGTTAGTCGATTGGCGGATCGCTTTTCCGGGGGTAATAATCCCATCAAAATAAATGTTTTTAAAAAAACAATGATAATAATTTGCTCACTCAATCCACGGCTGTTCGCGGGACGCTGCTGTGCGCAGTCGGCAGCTGCGTTTCGCCCACAAAATGCACGGTCAATGAATTTTTGCGGTATATCCTGTGAAGCGCTTTGAGACGTCTCAACCGCTTGGTGGGACGCTGTATTGAAATACGAGGATTATTATTCTGTACTAGCGGTTGGACCTTCAGCCTCTCTTGCCCCCTTTGGACCTCTATCCCACAGTCCCTTCGTCTCGCCCTCCCCACCTCCCGACCCCAGCTCGGGTGCAAAAACCCTTGACACCTTGGGACGTCCTCCCGACGTGAAAGGCCGGATGCAAATGATAATTGTTGTTATCGTATTATTATTATTTCAATGCTGCCTTGAGTTTTTCTCTGGTGCTGTCGCTTCTGTTTAAGAGGGTTGCGTGTGGTGCGTGTGCGTGCGTGCGTGTGTGTGTGTACGCGAAGCCTCATTTTGTTTTGTCCATTGCTGTTCCTTCCCGATCTTTGCTATGTTGCTGCTGCCCTCTGATGTTTGAATGCATGGAATTGCATGCGTTGGTAACATCCCAGGGCTGACGCTGGCTGAATTAATGGAGGAGAAGAAAAAGGGAACGTTTAGCTGGTTTAGTAGCTCTTCCAGGAGACATGGTAAAAGCTTTTTTTGTTTGTTTGCTCTTGTCTTGGGTTTGTGCGTGCGTGCGTGCGCGTGTGTGTGTGCGCGCGTGCCGCTCTCTCGCGCCTTTCGCTCCGTGTCGCAGCGGACATCCCACGTCACTGCGTGCAAAGGGTTTCTCTGTAGACTGTCGGGCTGCCCTTATAGCACGGTTGTGGTGGTGCTTTTTTTGGGGTGGGTGGGGTCCATTCATAAGTGGGTGGGGGGGGGGGCTCCGCCGTAAAAAACCTCCATTGCCGTCACTCCGGGAAGCCGGGAGTGTACTGCGTGTCGTGTTTGCACAGCGGGGTATAAGCGGGACCTGTGGTAAACGGCCGGGTTATAACGGGGACCCGACTATACTGTGTTTTTTGCTGCAGTGCTTTTTATTTGTTTGCAATTGTGTGTGCGTGTGTGCGCGCGCGTGTGTGTGCGTGCGTGTGTGCGTGCGTGTGTGCGTGCGTGCATATGCGTGTGTGTGTGTGCGCGCGTGTGTGTGTGTGTGTGCGCGGGCCTCGTTTCATCACCATTATTCTCTGATACCCTGAAATCCGAGCTCCTAAAAGTAAGTGTTGACTTGTAGGAACATGCAGTGTTTGTGTGTGTGTGTGTGTGTGTTTGTGTGTGTTTACGCCCAAGAAACTGATTGTACACGAGGGGAGAAATTTTATGGTGGCTCTGGATTTTTTCACTCAGCGTTTCGGGACACACAGAACGCGTCACGTTGTTGGAATTCAGCCTCAACTTCGAAGACGGCCCTGACTTGAAAGCCACCGTATCAATTCAAGCTGTTGTTGTTAGTCAGACGGGTGTCTTGTCTGACACACGCGTGTTTCTGTTCTCCCAGCCAGCAGCGTCAAGCGCTTTGAGACGTCCTCCCGACGCGAACGGCTGTGTACAGACGCAAATTGCATTGCATTGTGTGACAGAGGAAAAAAAGGGGCTTAGGAGGCGTTTATACAGGAGTGTGTTGGGGCTCCAGTGGACAGTGAGGTAGAGTTGAGCAGCAGAAGTTGGATTCGCTTCCACAACTCCCGTTCTGACCAACGCTGCTCCTGTCAGCTATGTCGCTGTAGGGAGAGAGCGAGGGATTCCATTTTCATCTGAGCCAAAGAAAGTGTGGGAAGTAACACCTCCCGCCAGGAGCAGTAAGAGGCCATTCAGACCACTGAGCCTGTTGCACCACCTGTTGCACCGGATTTCGAGCTGGTTTTAGGGGCGATTGCCCTGTCCAGAGGTATCCATCCTGCGTCATTCCTGACGCGACTTAAGGAAGCGTCACTTAGTCTCCCGTCGGGATGTGCGAGACGGCAAAAAAATCTCCGTCAGCCGGACGGGCGGGCGGGCGGGCGGGCGGGTAGGCAGAGACTGCAGTCTCCATTAGACGGTACTAATTGAGGAGGCGACGGCCAAAAGTACACTCGATACTTGGTTTGAGAAATTCCGTTGTTTCAGAGGGGGAAGGAGGGGAGTGAGGGGGAGTGAGGGGGAGTGGTGGGGGGGGGTGGGGGGGGGTAAGGATTTTGTGCAACATTCTGTTTGTTCTCCCAACAAAATGCACAGCGGATCCCCTTGTACAGTAAACAGATCCCCGCGAAACTCTTTGAGATGTCTTTTCCCGACGTGAAAGGCGCTGTATTGAAATGTAAGTATTAATGACACGTTTGATCCCTTCCCCTTCCCCCCCCTCACCCCCCACCCCCCACCTGCCCCGACAGCGAGCATGCCGACAAGCGAAACCGAATCCGTTAACACAGAAAACGTGGCGGGGGGAGAGGCTGAGAACGCGATCTGCTGCGGGAAGCTGTGGTGAGTCAAGATCAGTCGCCGCGCTGTGCAGTACATCCCGCGAAGCGCTTCGGAGCCGCCACTTTTCCCCGCGCGGACAGTTTGTACAGTCGACGGGTCCCGAGCGGATCGAGTTCATTCGAGATCCTCGTTCTCACCTTTATATCCCTCGTTTCCAGTCATCTTTCCCCCCACCCCCCAACCCCCCCACCCCCAGCCCCCCAGGATTATTATTATTAAGCGCTTTAGGATGTCCACCAGACATGAAAGGCGCTGTAATAACGTAAACTTGTATCGTGTCGTACTACGTCTGTAAGCGCTTAACGGTTTGATGGAGGAAAAGGGGAATATTGGGAATAGGATTTAAGTTTGTGGCGGTTTTACAAAGTAACTTCTTGTCCTGTTTTCTCTGCGTCACACAGTCACCGTATTTCCAAGTCAAAGTTCAGGTCAGTGCACATTTTCCTTTTCCTCCCTTTATTTTTCTTTTAACCTTTGATTTCCACGCCCGCCAATTGAACAATGACCGAGTCGCCGTATCTAAAGTGTTTGTGTGTATTGTGTGTTTGTGTTGCGTGTTGTGTGTTGTGTGTGTCGCCTCTCAGGATGATCTGAGTTCTCGCTTTGTTTCACTGCCTCGTCCCTATACATCCTCTTGGGCTCTGGCCTGCTCCACGTCCCCCGCCTGGTTCTCCCCGCCATTGGCGGTCGGGCCTTCAGCCTCTCTGCCCCCACCCTTTGGAACTCCATCCCACAGTCCCTCCGCCTCGCACCCTCTCTCGCCTCCTTCAAGGCACCTCTCAAGAAACCTCCTCTTCGACCGTGCCTTCGGTCACCTTCCTACGCCCCCCACCCTCCCCGCCCTCCACCCCCTCCTGATCCCAACCCCCAGCTCGGGTCCAAATCCCTGACTGTCCAGCGCCTCGGGACGTCCTCCCGACACGAAAGGCGTCACGTAAAATGTCATTTGTAGTTGTTGCTGTTGCTAAAAAGGGATTCAGGCCATTATTCGCCCAAAAGAAACAAATCCAGGGCAACATTTGTCAGGAGCAAATTTATCCCCTGGTCTTGGGTTTGCTTTTAGAGGTTCCTTTTCTCTCTCTCTCGTTCGCGCTCTCCTGTTTGCTCGGGAATTTTAGGTCAATATTGACAGTGTTATTTTTACTGCAGTTGCCAGTCGTCCGGGCAATCTGATATGATACACGAGGAGCCAATGTGCACACTGCACAGACAGGCATGTGTTTGCTTCGGCACAATCAGGTCCTAGAAACCAAGCTGGAGATAGCAAAAGGCGGAGAGGAGACAGGCAAAGCTGGGAGGGTGGGGGGGGGGGGGTGTCAGGGATAGGCATCTGGTGACTGATTATCTTAGAGGTGCATCGCCTCTCGTTCGATGCAGAAAATGTTGTATTTTGCTTGGAAATAATCCCTTTGCGTTTAAGAGCATCCAAACCGGACTGAGAGTTCGGTGCTCCCCCGCCTGCCCGCTCTCAGCAAAACTCGGATCTTTTCAAAGCCTTTTAATAATAATAATAATAATAATAATTATTTTAATTATTTTATCCGAGCTCCAGTCCGCGCGGGCACATAGAGCGACCGGAAACAGGAGGCAGCAGGGCCTCGAGAGCCTGCGGTCCCGGCTTGAAAGGCGCGAGAGGTATCGAAACGCGACGATAGTAACCGTTACTTACGGCGTGTGTCTCTCTCGTTACCGTTTGCCGACGCAGTCGTCGCTGGCGTCGATGGAACAGGTGCTGTCGGAGGCGATGCCGAGCTGCCGTGAAGTCTGTGAGTTTCTACTGGCTCGTCATCATCCTGGTCTTTCTGAACACACTGACAATTTCGTCCGAACACTACAACCAGCCCATGTGGCTGACATATATTCAAGGTGAGGCTTCGTGTCCCAAGCCTAACCCTAGCCCCGTAGCTCAGCGGTTAGAGCACTCGCCTCGCAAGCAAGAGGACCCGCGTTCGATTCCCGGCCGGGGCGAAAGCTTTGGGCAAGTTTCCCTGCTCCTCACGCACGCCTCGGTTTACCCAGCAGTAATTAGGATCCCGGTGGTTAGTCGATTGGCGGATCGCTTTTCCGGGGATAATTCCTTGCGAAAAGAAACAATGAATAAAAATCATGATAATTTGGTCACTCGACCCACGGCTGTTCGTGGGGGTCGCGCTGTGCGCAATCGGCTGCCGCATTTCGCCCGCAAAGTACAGTGTAACCCGTGAAGCCCTTTGAGATGTCTCGAAGACGTGATTAGACGCTGCATCACATGCGAGGATTATTATTATTAATATTATTATTATTATTATCTGCTCTGGCCGGTTGGTTTGACGAGTTCAATTAAATACAAGGGATCGAGAGGAGAGAGAGAGAGAAAGTAAAAGGCAATGAGCATCATTGTTGTGAGACTGGGAACACCCTGGGGCCTGGATTCCCAATCAGTGCGCAGCTGTGAGGTAGGCGACCATTTCATTTGGTGGCTGTTAATTACAGACCATCACTTGCCAATGTCAGCCTGGCTCAGTCGCACCACGCCGGCTGGGAGATAGACTTGCCGAGGGTCAGCAGACTAACACGTTGGTCAGGAAGTGCCCACCCCCGTCCGCCTGCCTGTCTCGTTTGCGGTTCGGCCGGACTTCCAAAAGGTTCCCGCAGTGCTGTTCGTAAATGGAAAGGAGTTCCTCTCTTCCCCGGTGTCCTGGTTCTTATCTGACAATCCCCGCAATTTAAAACCAGTCACTTGCTTCATGGCTGTTTGTGGGACGCGATAAGGCGCTATCTCAAACGGTGAGGATTATTACTGTTATTATTATGAATCGTTCCCCACACGGAGCGGTTCGAAAAAATAATTGGTCCCCGGTGAAAAAAAATCGCATCGTGTTAAATATGAAGGTAAAATAATAATAATAATAATAATGTGCGTTTGACGCAGCGCCTTTCGCGTCAAAGAAGGACGTCTCAAAGCGCTTCACAGTCCGCGCTGTAAAGTGACGTGACCCGTGTGTATTTCGTGGCGGGAGCGAGAGCGCATTCCATCCCATTCCGACAACCCCGCTCTGGAATTTCCACGTGTAGGTGGGACGCACGGAAGTCTCAGCTGAGCTTGGATAGTCTTAAGCAACGGTGAAGGGTTCCCAACCAAAACCAAATCGTGACAAGCGCGCTCAGGGCGCTAAAGCGAAGCTAGCGAGATCTTTTCTTAGCGTCGAATCGTTACCGACCTCTTAGCCCGAGAGCAGTCCGCACTGTCCCGAGGATTTTGTCACTTAATAATTAAAGACGAAACACCGACTCCTTCAGCGGGAGTTTAATAAATATGCACGGTCTCCAGCTGCTGCCCACGAACCCCTAAATAAATAATCCCTGCCTCGCACGCCCGGGTTGTAACCTACCTACGATCAGTGCAGACCTAAATCATCATGGGCAACGCCAACGACAGGTTGCTCCGGAGACGCTGCCCCACGTGAAGGACGCTATGTAAATGCAAGTTGTTGTTGTCGTCGCCGTCGGGGAAGCCAAGATGCCCGAAATTATACGCGTGAGCCCGTTTAATAAGAATGATAACAACCGATCCTTGCATTTGATACAGCGTCTTACCACGCTGTTGAGACGTCTCAAAGCGCTTCACAGGATAGATTGTGACTGTGTATTTTGTGGGCGAAACGGGGCAGCCCATCGCATACAGCAGCGTCCGCACAAACAGTCGTGGATTGCGTGACCACATTTTCCGGGGGGGAAGGGATTATTACCCCAGGAAAGCGATCCGCCAATACCGTTGGGTAAACAGAGGCGCGGGCGCGTGTGGAGTAAGGAAACTTGCCTAAGGTTTTTCCCTGCCCGGGAATCGAACCCAGGTCCTCTCGCTTGCTGACCACTCCGCTTCTATGTTGCAGGCTTCTGTGGCTTGCGGAATATTTTCTTGGCAGCCCAACGGGTTCAGAGGGACAGTTATCACTCCGGCAGGAGACGTAGATTAGAACAATCTGCTGGACTCGGGTTAGGCAGAGAAGCTCAGTGTTTAAAAATAGTTTGGGCTAATGCACTTCCATCATTGCGGAGTAATTGACTCCATGAAATTTTTAAACGCCAGAGCGCATGACGAGGCTCTGAAACTTTCATTCGTGAACGTCAGATGCTGGCGTTTAAACTTTTATAAAGCCCGCGACTAAAATTAGGAGCTGCGCTGCTTTCTTCCTCTCCCCCCACCCCCCACTCCCCGCCACCTGACCATCCGACAGAGAAACAGAGCCAGCGCTGAATGTGCGGTCAATTTCACAACGCTTTCCCAGGCTCGTATCCGCCTGTCTGGCCGACGATGATGGGGAGATTTATTTCGATATTAGAATCACGCAGTCTGAGCTGAGGCTCCAGTGCTGCGCTGGGGGGGGGATGTTAAAGATTCCACGGCACTGCTCGAAAAGAGAAGGGAGTTTCTCTCTCTCTCTCTCTCTCCAGGTGTCCACCGCCCCCCCCCCCCCCCCCCCACACCCCCAAATAAAATGCACTCGCTCCATGGCTGTTTGTGGGACATTGCTGCGCTGTGAGCTCAGCGATCCTGCTAACAATAACAATAATAATAATAATACTTGCATTTAATACGGCGCCTCATCACATCTTCGAGACGTCTCTAAGCGCTTCACGGGATGTACTGTAAAGCGGAGTGACTATATGTTTTGCGGGTGAGCATAGAGCGACCGGGGATGGCTGGACAAGGAGACCGCGTGCGCGATCGGGTCTGGCGTTTTGCCAGTGGCGACCGAAACATGGCCGTCCTCTTTCCGCCCGCGTTACAGATACCGCGAACAAAGTCCTCCTGGCCCTTTTCACGTGCGAGATGCTGGTGAAAATGTACAGCCTGGGTCTGCAGGCCTACTTCGTCTCCCTCTTCAACCGCTTCGACTGCTTCGTGGTGTGCGGAGGGATCATCGAGACTATCCTGGTGGAGTTTGAGATCATGTCTCCTCTGGGAATCTCTGTCTTCAGATGCGTCCGGCTTCTACGAATATTCAAAGTGACCAGGTGAGCCATATTTGACCGACTTTTGGTGGGATTTGAGTGGGCGTAGGGGTGGGGGGGGGGTGGGGGAACGCTGATCTCAAATTAGAGCGGGGATGGTTACAAGTGAGGTCAGATAACATTCTCTGCGGAGAGAGGGATGGACCCGAATGACCTTCTTCTGTGCCATAAATTTCTGTGACACTCAGAAATTTGGTTGATCAGTCGGGATGGTTAATGGGGTGGTGGTGGGCGGGGGGGTGGGGGTGGGGGTGGGGAGAGGAATTCTTGTGACATATCGGGTGTTAAAGGGTAGACCAAAAGGGTTCTTGCTTTCCTATGTTGCTGTGTAGGAAGCTGGATTAATAATAATAATAATAATCCTTGCATTTGATACAACGCCTTATCACGTCGTCGAGACGTCTCAAAGCGCTTCACAAGACACCCTGTAAAGTGTAGTGACTGTGTGATTTTTGAGGGCCGAAACATGGTGTTGCGCTTGTGTTTTGTCAAGACACTGGACGTCCCTGAGCAACCTGGTGGCCTCGCTGTTGAACTCCATGAGGTCCATTGCCTCCCTGCTCCTCCTGCTCTTCCTCTTCATCATCATCTTCTCGCTGCTGGGAATGCAGCTCTTCGGCGGCAAGTTTAACTTTGACGAAACACAGACCAAGCGAAGCACCTTCGACAACTTCCCACAGTCGCTCCTCACCGTGTTCCAGGTAACGGCGCTCGGTCGAACGGGTAAAAGCCACTGTCGAAATCTACGCAAGGTCAGCCGGGGGGGTCCTCGCCTAACCTCCAACAACAACAACAAATCACACTTACACGGCGCCTTTCGCCTGGGAAGGACGGGAAGCACGTCCCGAGGCGCTGGACAGTTAAGGATTTTGCACCTGAGTTGGGGGCCGGGATCAGGAGGGATGGAAGGTGGGTTGGAAGGTGCCCGAATATCGACCCTAAGAACATAGACGAAAGAAGACTGAAGGTGTGGTCCAAGAGGGAGGGTCTTGAGATGGGCCAGTCAACGTGAGGTGGGGGCGAGGTGGAGGGACTGTGGGCTGGAGTTCCCAAGGGTGGAAGGCAGAAAAGGCTGAAAGGCCCGATTACCGATGGTGGGGTGGGCAGGGCAGGCTGTTGAGGAATGTAGCCCTTTCCTGTTCTCTTCCAACAGATCCTAACCGGTGAAGACTGGAACGAGGTGATGTACGATGGCATCATGGCTTATGGCGGCCCGGCCTCCTCAGGGATGATCGTTTGCATCTATTTCATCATCCTCTTCATCTGCGGTAACTGTATCCTTTCCCCCAGGCAGGGCCGGGCTCGTGTTGCCCTCAGAGAGGGGCAGCGTTCCCAACTTCCCCGGGGGGGGGGGGTGGTGACTGTAGGCGCGGCCGAAGAGGAAGGTTTTCAAGCGCCAATTGAAAATGGGGAGAGAAAGAGAGAGAGAGGACAGGGCGAAGGGGATTGAGGGAGAGAGTTCCACCGGTTCGGGGCGCCGTGGCTGAAAGCACTCACTAACAACAACTTGTGTTTATACAGAACCCTTTAGGGTAACGGCTTGGAGCGTTTTACAATGGTGGGGTTCAGTTGGCGAGCAAGGGGATAACGGGGGGAGCGACCCTAGGCGCGGTCGAAGACACAGTCCCGCCCTCCAGGGAAAGTTTTCTGTAAACGTTGTTAATCTGGGGGTAATAAAAACTCATCCGAGAAAGTTTACCGTGCGAGGAACAATTCTCATCCCTGATAAACTCACTTGAACATCACAGCACCCCGATGCCTTGGGAGGTGGTGACTGCATTTTTTTTTGGGGGGTGGGGTGGGAGGGTGCCTGAGGTTTCGTCCCTCCCGGGAATCGAACCCAGACCCTCCGGCTTGCGAGGCGATCGCACTAACCATTACGCCACAGGGACTTGCACCGTTTGGCCGCGAAGGGCAGGAAAGAGGAGTTGCCCATTCGTGGAGTCGGTGAAGAATTTTGGAGATATCCCTTGTTTTGTTTTGTTTTTTATTTCTCCTTAAGCATCTTTTGCCGTCCAGACATCCTGCTCAACGTCTTCTTGGCCATCGCCGTGGACAACCTGGCTGACGCGGAGAGTCTGAACACGGCTCAGAAAGAAGAGGAGGAAGAGAAGGAGAGGAAAAAGAGCGCGAGGTAATCGCACCTCGTCTTGACGTGCAACTCGAGTCCTGTGCACCCGGACGGCCTCTCGTTTCCGAGCAAAGTAACCCAGGAACCGGCGCTACTTGCGGGTGTGCGTTTGGTGTAAGCTCGGAATAAGGCCTTCTGTTTAAAACAAAACGTCCCTCTCAAACGGTGGGGAGTTTATTTTCCGGGGGGGGGGGGGGGGGGGGCAAACTAAAGTGTCTTTCACGCCCTCTCAACCCCGTTCACCCTAAAACCCCTCTAAATCCGGCTCTCTGAACCTCGTTCCGTTCATTAGAAGCGGGACCCCCGAGAAAAAAGATGGGAAATACGAAGCTGACGGAATAGGAGAGAACGACGACAGGAAAAATCTCACCGACGCAAAGGTAAATATAATAATAGTATAATAATACAACAATCATAATAAGCTTTGCATTTCATACAGCCACGTAGCATGCAGTCAGAAAGCGCTTCACAGGAATCACTGTGTACTGTAGTGACTGCCGCGGCGCAAGTCGTCACTGATCGCGCGGTGACTGTCTTGTGGGCCGATTTGCGCACCGCGACATCGCGCGAACAGCCGTGAACTGAGTGGACAATGTTATCCGGTTCGGAGTGGGTGGTGGGGGGTGGGGGTTGGGGGGTTGGTGAGGGGGAGGCAAAGGGAATTTCTCCTGAGGCCCCGGCCGATAAGACACAAATAAAAGTTGCTAACGCCGGGCGAATTCACTGCCATCTTCACCTCCACCTGCAAAAAAAATAAAAGACTTTTAATTCCGGAGAGTGTTAGGCGCAGGTTGGCACGAGCTGAGGCTCGGAGGGAGTTTAAGAACGTAAGAATTTTCCAGACGAAAGGTCCATCTGGTTCGCCTTCCACCATCCCGGCGGTTGCCTTTGACCTGTCGTGACCCAAACTATACTGTACCCCCAGATATTATTTTCTGGCAGAAACCTATCGAACACGTCCTTGAAACAATGCGAACGATATTTTCTGCTTCCACCGTCTCCCGGGGGAAGCCCGTTCCACAAGCGTGCGACTCGCTCGCTCGCTCGCTCGCTCGGCGTAACCGTCTTAAGAAAGAGCAGAGCTCGAGTGGGCCATTGGAGCTGCCGGCGGCGGCTTCCCGGAGGGAGGAGAGGGAAAGTAACGAGTCGTAACTGTTGTGTTGTAGGTGTTGATTGACGACGCAGACGACGACAAGGATCCTTACCCGGCCAGCGATATCCCAGGTACACAAACCAACCGTTTGCGTTCAGGTTCGGGTTAAAAACCTCCACTGTCCTCAGAACTTCCTCTTCGATTGAGCCTTGGGTCACCCTCAAATGTAATTTGTTGCTGTCATTGTCGTCGTCGTCGTCGTGTGCAAAGCGAATTACAGGTTCCCCTCGTTACGTAATGAATTAGATAATTCATTCTTGGCGCACACGGACTGAAATCTCTCTCCCTGGCGATGCGCAGAGACTCGCGGCCATTTCCTGCGCGAAACCAGCCGGTTTCGTTGCCGCTCGTAACCCGCTCCCCGCGGCTCTGTGGCGATTGATTTTACTTTTGGCCGATTTTTTTNACCGGTTAGAAGACGAGGAGGAGGAGGAGGAGCCCGAGGTGCCGGCTGGGCCCCGCCCGCAGAGACTGGCTGACCTGAACCTGAAGGAGAAGATCATCCCCATTCCTGAGGGCAGCGCCTTCTTTATCTTCAGCAGCACCAACCCGTACGTCCCCACCCACGCGCACGCTGGCGTGCTTGCACGCTCACGCACGGGCGCGCACACGCTCGCACGTACACCCACACAAGCTCCGCCACCCTCTCCGCGAAGCACGTGGAGATGTCGTCAGTCCAGGTGAGAGCCGCTCTTGACGATTTGCCTTCGCTGTTGCTTCAGGATCCGAGTCGGGTGCCATCGACTCATCAACCACCACATCTTCACCAACCTGATCCTCGCCTTCATCATGCTCAGCAGCGTCTCGTTGGCGGCAGAGGATCCCATCCGCAACTTTTCATTCCGCAATCACGTGAGTCGGGGTGGGCGGACGATGGCGCGAGTGTGAGTGTGTGCGCGAGTGTGAGTGTGTGCGCAAGTCAGCGTGTGCCAAGCGAGTGTGTGTGCCAAGCGAGTGTGTACGCGATCGAGTATGTGTGCGAGCAAGTGTGCGTGCGAGTCAGCGTGTGCACAAGCGAGTGTGTGCGCGAGTGAGTGTGTGCGTGCGTGCTAGCTTGTGAGGTGCAAACGTGTGCGCGAATGAGCGTGTGCGCGAGTGAGCGCGTGCGGGAGACTTTGATCGCAGGCGTCCGCGGCCATCAACTGTGCGCGGGGACGCTGCTGTGCCCCATTGGCTGCCGCTTTTCGCCCACAAAATACACACTCACTCCACTTTACGGTACATCCCGTGAAGCGCTTTGAGACGTCTCGAAGACGTGATGAGGCGCTGTATCAAATGCCAGGATTATTATTATTATTATTATTATTATCAACGGAGTGACTGGGACACAATATCGGCCGATCTCGCTCATTTGGGGGCTTCGATCTTGCTCAGCTCGGATCTGGAGCACGTCATCCAAACCCCTTACCGGCCTCCCTCCTCCACTACTCTGTGCTGGTCAGTGATTTGGGATGACGAGAGCTAACCTTTCGACGCTCCGGGAACTCCAGCGCCGGGAAAGGACGCAGGGGAGCGAAACCAGCCTGGCCCGTGCGCAGGAAGACACCAGCGCAGACCGCGATGACCTGAATGGCCTCGCTTCTTCTATGTGGAGCGTGGAGCCCCCCCCCTTTAGCCTAGTGGTTGGCACGCTCGCCTCGCAAGTCAAGAGCAGGTGTGCTTTCCGGGGGTCATAATCCCTTTCACAAAATAAATAATAATTTGGTCACTTCAATCCGCGACTGTTTGCTGGGGACGCTGCTGTGCGCAATTGGCTGCCGCGTTTCGCCCACATTAATAGCGCTCCGCCAGTCACTACACTTTACAGGATATCACGCGAAGCGTTTTGAGACGTCTCGACGACGCGATGAGGCGAACGCAAAGGATTATTATTAGTATTATTATTATCACTATTATGGCCGTAACGCTTCACAGAGCCTCAGCTGTCGAATGGTAGTCCGGAGGTGGTGGACGTAGACTTGAGTCCAGTCGCTTGGTCCTTATTTCTTTCCCGTGGCGATGTCCTCTGCTCCGAGGGGAACGGACGGACTGATTGTATCTCGGAATCGTGTGCGCTGTCTAATCTCATGCGTGCGTGTGCGTGTGCGTGCGTGTGTGTGTGTGCGGGACTTGCTGGAGCCCGATGTGTTGAGTATTTATGTTCTGCCTTCACAGGTTCTAGGTTACTTTGACTATGCTTTTACTGCCATCTTTACTGTTGAAATCCTTTTGAAGGTAATGAATCGTCCGCCTCTTCGGCCTCTTGTGAGAAGTCGATGCGAAAGTCGAGTAACGCCTGTTAACCCTTTGCTTACCTTGCAGATCCTAGGCTTTGCAGATTATGTCTTCACTAGTATGTTTGCCTTTGAGATCGTGTTGAAGGTAACAAAGGATAGAAACTCAGAGTGTTGCCGTTTGGAAAACGGATGGATTTTCTCACCTTTGTAGTATAGCAGCAGCAACCTTCCCCCCACCCACTCACCCACTCACCCCCACCCCCTCCCCTTCACGCACACACATACACGCTCACACGCACAGACACACTCGCACTCACACGCTCACACACACATCCTCGCGCACACTCACGTAATTAGCGATTCACACACACACACACACACACACACACACAGACAGACAGACACACACACACGCACTCACGCAAGCACACACAAGGCATACGCACACAGACACACCCGCACACAGACATCCTCACACGTGCGCCCACGCACACAGTTCAGCCTGCGTGCTTCCATAAGGCCATCTGCAGGTTGGAAGCTAAGTCAACTCTGCATGTCAATCTCCTAACTCTGCGTGTTTGAGAGAGAGAGAGAAAGAAAGAAAGAAAGAAAGAGAGAGAGAGAGAGAGAGAGCGCAGGATATTTTCCATTTAGTTACATGACTCCAGGCCTAGGAACGCTCATGCAAATTGGGAACAAACAAAAGAAACAACATCCCCTCCTCTCCTCTTCTCCCCCCCGTCTCCGTTTCCCCCCCCCACCTCCCCCCCCGAAGGAAGCAGAACGTAAGGAAATCTTCAGGAAAGCCATTCCCCCCGGGGTTTTCAGATATCCAAACATTCAGACATGGGCAGCAGTGGCAGGGTCAAAACCTCTAGTGATCGCTGGTAAAGTAAAACTGAATCCAGTTCGTGTTCCCGGCTAATAAGGGGACTGATCGAAAGCTCTTTCACATTGATAGGAAGTGCCCACATCTGATCTCCACTCTCGGGTCACTCCCCCTCACGAATGGCCAAACGCCAAAGCTCATTTCTCTTCCTGCATTTCAACAGTGACTTCCTTTCGCTCTGCCTCGTGTGGTTTTGTTCAGCATGGTGTGATGTTCTCCACATCGACTCAGTTGGCAGAGCAGGGCAGAGATAGCGAGGAGACATCCCACCTGGGTCTCTGGATGATTTACTCTCACTGATGGAACTTCCTACAGCGTCCAGAACTCGGCAAATTCTGAAACGCAGCCTTAACTTTGGGGCCGTTTTTTCCTGTAAATTCTTTCGAGAAACTGCAGAACATCAGTTTAACCCCAGTGGGTTAAGGGTGAAATTCGAACAATTTCTGAACGCTCTAAAGTGCTCCATAAGTAAAGTAAATCCAGGGGGAGGTGGAATTTCTTCCCCCTATTAACGCCTAGCTCTTTCAGATCTAATGCATGCAGTTTGCGGTGAATCTTCCAGTCGTATAATTAACACGGTGTGAATTTTAAGCTCGCATGTACAGGATTATTTGTTGACCACGTCTAGATTAGAAGGATTATTTCCCCCCACAGCGCAGTTGGACGCACAGTACAGACGCCTATCAAGGGGCATCTGATGCTCTAGCCATCAGCTGGATAAGTATCTGTTTGAGACGATATTGGAGGGAATATGAATAAGAATAGGGAACAGGAAAATACCAGCAGATAAGAACATAAGAATTTGCTGGCGGAAGAAGACCAAGGTCCATCCAGTTTGCCTTCCACCATCCAGGCAATCGCTTGACATGTCGGGTCCCAAACCGTAATCCCCCAGATAATATTTTCTAGCAGAAATCTATCTGATTTGAAAGAGATGGAGTGGTGGGCGGGTGGGGTTGGAAGGAGGCAGGATGTTGTCAGTGGAGGAAAGGAAGTCTGTCCACCAAAAGGTTCCCTGGCGATCACTTCTGCACTAATACCAGAGCGACGGGTTCAGGTTTGACCACCCATCTCCTACCTTAGCCCAGGAGTAAAAACCCCAAGCCTCTCATTTGGTAGAAAATAATTCAGTCACCGACCTATATTTTCTTGAGTTGCACACACAAAGGGTTGGAGGCTCGACGTGTTTTCTCAGCGGGAGAATATTTTGTATATTTCGGAGGCGTTTCTAGTGAGGGGGTTGGATTGATGGAGCCGGGGTCATTCAGCAACGTATTTCATCTACGCTCGGAAGAGTTTGATCCTTGCAAATTTTTCCTTTTCAGGTACCTATCCAATTCCCTTTTGAAAGTTGTCATTGAATCTGTTTCCACCGACCCTTTCAGGCAGCGTGTTCCAGACCGTAACAACTCTCTGCGTGTAAAAAAAAAGAAGTCTCCTCATCTCCCCCTCTGGTTCTTTTGCCAGTTATCCTCATCGAAAAAGAAACTTTAATCGTATAAAGTTGACATCGCGCTCAGCAACGAGAGATAAATGGAGGAAACATGTCTGAAAACTATTCCGTGCAGACATGTACATCGTGTACACCGGTAACACTCCCCAGATGCGACTAAATCTGAACAAATTGCACAGTTTCAGCTCGTGAAAGTGCCGTTGCATTGAGTTCCCAAACAAACTCATTGATGTAAAGGGAATTGGATAGGGACTTGACAAGGAAAAATGTCCAGGGCTATGAAATGAGAGCGGGGAAGTGTGACTAGTTGGTAACTCGTTCAAAGAGCCAGCACAGGCACGATGGGTCGAATGGCCTCCTTCTGTGCTGCAGGAGTCTACGCTAATTGATAAAGGATGGCCAGGCTATGCCTCGAGGGAGGGTGGATCCTTTGTAGGACTCTGGACGAGAATCCCGACTTGTAACCCACTCGCTCCCTGCCTTGTTTCTCCAGATGACCTCCTATGGAGCTTTTCTGCACAAAGGTTCCTTCTGTAGAAACTACTTCAACTTGCTGGACCTGTTGGTGGTCGGAGTGTCTCTCGTCTCATTCGGAATTCAGTAAGTACCTAACTCTGTGAGATGGAGTCCTGTAGCTCAGTGGTTAGAGCGCTCGCCTCTCGAGTGAGAGGACCTGGGTTCGATTCCTGGGCAGGGCGCAACGTTGGGCAAGTTTCCTTACTGCACACGCCTCTGCTTACGTAGCAGTCAGTAGGAACCCGGGTGTTAGTTGCTTGGCGGGTCGCTTTTCTGGGGGTAATAATTCCTTCAAAAGAAATAAAAAGAATTTGGTCACTTCAATCCACGACTGTTTGCGGGACGCGGCTGTGCGTAATCGGCTGCCGCGTTTCGTCCGCAAAATACACAGTCAATCCAGTTCACACTGTGCAGCGCTTTGAGACGTCGCCACGACATTATAAGGCCCTGTATCAAACGCGAGGACTATCCTTATTCTTATTATAACACAAGTCCCCTCCTGGGAAACGTAACCGAACGGTGCGGGTTAAAACGCGTACGATTAAATGTGTTTTCCGCACAGGTCGAGCGCGATATCTGTGGTGAAGATACTTCGAGTCCTCAGGGTGCTAAGGCCACTGCGAGCTATCAACCGGGCAAAAGGACTCAAGGTTTAATTTGATCTTCCTTCTCGTATCGAACTTGCGACCACGTTGAAATCGCCCGACGAAAGAAATTGCAATTTTTTTTCTGTTCACATTGTTTTCTCTTCTTTGTTTTCTCTCGCCCTACAGCATGTTGTTCAATGTGTGTTTGTTGCTATTAGAACCATTGGTAACATCATGATTGTTACAACTCTCCTGCAATTCATGTTTGCTTGTATTGGGGTTCAGCTCTTTAAGGTAAATCGGAAAACGCTTTTAAGAACTATTCGCCAAAAAAAAAAACAAAAAAAACACGCAAAATTCAGCCTAAAGCTGATTGCCGTTCCGGAACGAGTTAAAATCCGGCCTTCTCGTTGTCCTTCAGGGTAAATTCTTCCGGTGCACGGACGAAGCCAAGCAAACGCCCGAAGATTGCAAGTAAGAGACGCACAGATCGGATGTGCTCGTGAGCCAAACCCGTAGAGCGTCCGGGCCGACACTCCAGCGCAGTGCTGGGGTTGGGGGGCGCGGAGTGGTTGGTGGGTGGTGAGCGCTGCGCTGTCGAAGCTGCCATCCTTCGGGTGAGACGTTAACCCCAGGCCCCGGGTGCCACCATCGTGTTAATTACAGTGCCTTCCGTTCCCACTGGAGTTCAGTGGCGTCGCGTAGCGAATGAATTTATATCTGTCATAGGAACAGGAGGAGGCCATTCAGCCCCTCGAGCCTGTTCCGCCATTCTATGAGATCACGGCTGATCTGTACTTCAACTCCAATTTCCCGTATCCCTCGATCCCCTGACCTGACAAAGATATATTGACCTCAGTCTTGAAAATTTCAATGGATCGAGGATCCACAGCCTTTTGGGGGGGGGTGGGGGGGAGTCAGAGAGAGGGGGGAGAGAGAGAGCTTCCGGATTGCGCTGCAAAACGGCCGAGCTCAGAGCCTTCACCTGCCCGAGAAAGGAAAAAAAGGTGACAGGAGATCCAGGTGCTTTTTTGTTTCCACTGGAATAATTTTCTGACTCTTTCTGCTTTTATACAGGGGAACGTACATTGTTTATAAAGACGGTGACGTCGAGCACCCCACGATCCGGGAGCGCGTCTGGCACAACAGCGACTTCAACTTCGACAACGTCCTGAACGCCATGATGGCGCTGTTCACCGTCTCCACGTTTGAAGGCTGGCCAGCGTAAGCCCCGCGCGCCTTCGCTCTCTTGCCGACACGCAACACGAACAACGGCTCGCGCTTACGCCGTAGTCCCGGAGTGATTCACAGTGGTTGGAGCCCGACCCCGAGCAGGGGGCGGTGGTGGTGGGGGGGGGAGAGAGGGAGCGAGGGTGGAGGTGACCGTAAGCACGATCAAAAAGGTAAAGGTCTTAAGGCAGGATTTGAAGGTGGGGAGGGAGAGAAGGAGGGGATGAGGGAGAGAAGGAGGGAGTGAGGGAGGGAGGGAGGGGAGCGAGGGAGGGAGGGGGCAATGGGGAGGGATTGAGGGAGAGATTATTGACATCAAGAATCAACGTTACATGCTTCTGCGGGGTTTTTTTTCTCACCGGAGGGGGGGGAGGGAGAAGGGTTGCTTGGACATCTGGTGAAGGGCGCTGTAGAAGCGTAACTTGTGGTCGTATAGCTGACGTGTAAACCTTCCTAACGCTATCGGAGTCCTGTAGTGCGGCGGTTAGTTCCCCTCACCAACGTTTTTCTTCACCCGGAGTGTTAATAACAGTTTCCCCCCCCACCCCCCCCTTGTTTTGTCTCTCAGGCTGTTGTACAAAGCCATCGACTCGAACGGAGAGAACATCGGGCCCGTCTACAACAACCGGGTTGAGATCTCCATCTTCTTCATCATCTACATCATCATCATCGCGTTCTTCATGATGAACATCTTTGTGGGTTTTGTCATCGTCACCTTCCAGGAGCAGGGGGAGCAGGAGTATAAGAACTGCGAACTGGACAAGAACCAGGTCAGGAGCCGCCCAGCTAATCAGGTCCCCTATGGCGCTTTGAGACGCCTCGTAGATGTGATAAGGCTCCTATATCAAATGCAACGGTCATTATTGTTATTGTTATTTGCTCAACACAGTGGTGCAGCGAAATGGAGTCCCAATATACTGCTCTACCATTTTGTACCCTTAGACTTCCTTCACTCTCCCTCCCTATTATCTTCTCACCGCCTCCCCCCCCCCCCCCACCCACCCCAATCACAACACATTCCCAATTTTGGTTCAACGGCAATGGGAGTGCATCAGCAGAAGGTTCCCCTGGAGGACCACAAAAAAATTACATTTGTGTAGCGACTTTCAGGTCAGGAGGACGTCCCCAAAGTGCTGGGACATCCTACTGACCCCCAACCCTCCCCACCCCCACCCCCCCCCCCCCGCCCCACCTTTCTCTCTCCACCCCTAGAAGAGTGTATACGGTTTGGAGAAAATTGAGAGTCAAAAGCAAAAATACAATAATTCTCGAACGACCACACTGTAAGAAATACGTCATTATGGAATTTCCCAAAACCAATGGAAGTTCCATCCTTTGATTACATCCGATAATTGATTCTTTTCAGCAGGTTCGATGCTAATGGAAGTTTCGATAATTGGGCATTTTTTTTTTTTTAGTCTTTTTTTTAAAGAAATCTGTTAGGAAAGATCACAAATTTCTCAGCATCTCTGGAGGTGCGAACTGCCTAATTTCTCAAGCAGACGCAGGAATTGATGAGAGGAATCCATGTGCAGAGTTTGATGAACTATCTGCTAATGCGTTGTTTGAATTATTGAAATGATAATATATTTTTGGGCCCACAGATATGATAGAGCTCCCCATTATAGCGAGAAACCAGAACTTAATTAGAGAACGAGATTTGTCATGACAGATTTTTTTCCTTGCTCCGTTATCCTGATATCATTTCATCCTGTGTTTGCCTACCTTCACGCCTCCACTGACAGTGCCAAATGACAGAGTCTGTTCCCTGCCTTTGGCAAGTCATTAAACTATATCTCCATCTGATCCCACCCCCCCCACCCCCACCCCATCCCAACCTCATGTGTCAGCACTATTTTCTCCCAGTGTCCTGGCCAACAATTCCCCAAATATAGTCGGTCACTCACTCACTTACTCCCTGGCTGTTTGGGGGACATTGCTGTGCGCAAATTAGTTCTTCTTTTGACGACGAAACGTCATCGACCTGAAACGTTAACTCACTTTCCTCTCTCCGTAGATGCTGCCTGACCTGCTGAGTGTTCCCAGCGACTTGTGTTTTTATTGTTGTTGTTGTTGTTGTTGTCTCTGCAGCGTCAGTGCGTCGAGTATGCCCTGAAGGCCCGTCCCTTTCGCAGGTACATCCCCAAGAACCCTTACCAGTACAAGTTTTGGTACGTGGTGAGCTCAACCGGGTTTGAATACATCATGTTCATCCTCATCATGCTCAACACTCTGTGCTTGGCCATACAGGTAAGAGCAATGAGACAATACACACACAAAACACACACAGTCACTTCGCCTTTACAGTCTATTCCGTGAAGCGCTTTGAGACGTCGCGACGATGTGATAAGGCGCTGTATCAAACGCAAGTGTTATAACATACACGGGTTTGGATTGTGGACACAATCAGATGGTTCTCCTATTAGTATTTCAGGTTTTTACTCAAATTGGGATCGGAATGGGTCTTGGGTTTTGATCCCAATAGATCCAATTGTTCCTTTAGTCCTTTTTTTTTGGTATTTGGCGGAATATAAAACAAATTGACTTTGTTTTCTTGGCACTACAGACAGCGGGTTTTATCTAAGGGGAAGTCAGAAAAGACAGCAGCTGATTTGTAAATATCTTTTTAAATTGGGTTACAGTGTATAGGTTGGGACATGACATGTGCAAGCGACTGCCAGGAAGATGGAAGGTCAACTGGCTGGACCTTGGTGGTCTTTGGCCTAGCAATTCTTATGTTCACTTTCTATCAAAGTCCAGACAGAGCAGTCCGGCTCTATTTATCGGCTTTCAGCTGGTAGTTTCAACACAAGGCCGACTGGAGGGGCTGTTGAGTAACAAGACAGATTGTAGTTACAGCTCTGGCTGATGTTCACTTTGACTTAAATACACTTACACAGCCAACTTGAGCACAAGCCTTGCATTAAAGTGTAACATCAAATCTTATTGATATCTGTCCATCGAGTCAGACATGAAACACACACACACACACGAACAGACATACAAACACACGCGTGGAACCAGACACAGACCCACCCCTCCTACACACACACACACACACACATAAACAACAACTTGCATTTATATAGCGCCCCTCGCGTAGGGTAGAGTCCCAGAGCACTTAAACGCACATTTACACAACACACACAAACACACACACACACAACATACGCACAGACCTTTGCGCCACCTTTATAACCCCAAGAAGCGTTTTAAGACTTTATCCAACGGAGGCAAAACTAGCAATGTACGAAGCACAGATCCCTGTCTTTCTGAAGGTTATAATTGAACCTTCGTGTCCTTCAGCATTACGAACAATCAAAGCTTTTCAACTATGTGATGGATATCCTCAACATGGTCTTTACCGGCGTGTTCACCGTCGAAATGGTTTTGAAACTCATAGCTTTCAAACCCAGGGTGAGTTTTATGGCTTTTACTTTTCCTGTTGAAGTCTCTCCAGTTAGTGGGTGTATCCTCAGTCGCAAATGCAGAGAAGAGTAGCGAGAGAGGAGAGACAGATTAATAGGACGATAGCTAGACAGATAGATATATTATTGGCAGAATTGCGCACTTCATTTTTACAACAACTAATATGTTAGTGGCCAACGTCAAGAGATTTTGCTTCACTGCACGTTAGAGTGTAAATAAGTGGTGATACTGTGACATCAGTTGACTTGTTCACATCATTGAGCACTGACTAATGGTGATATCTAACACTTGGGGTATTAACCAACAGGTTAGTTTTGCCCCTAAGAGTATTCGGCGACCTGTTTTGTCCCATGATTTGCCTGGAGACACAATCCTTGGTTGTCCCTACAGGTTCCCGTACCCTTAGACAAAACACACTTTCGAAGTAAAACTTGTGGGTTCAATTTGTGGTACTTCCTTCAAGTTCTACTCCCTTCGCCCTCCTCCACCGCCCCCACACCACGCACAGCCTTCTTTACATGATCATAAATATATCTGAAGGTATCTCTCGCTCCCACAACAACCCCCCACCACCCCCCACACCTCTTAATGTTCCGGGGTTTACTGTCAGCTGTGGATTTTTAAAAAAAGAAAAACATTTTCCCACGTGCAAGTTCTCGAATTACCGCGTAAAAGCTCGGCTCTTTTGTTTTCCAGTCTTTACTAAGTTTCTGTTTTGTTTTTCGACTAACCCGCTGTATATCAGATATGTGTGGAAAAAAAGGAGCGAGTGCTAGTAAGTGACAGCTATCTGACCGAGTGCAGTGGATAGATAGACTTCTTTGGATTGCCTTAGAGACTAACTTTGCATGGGTTTTCATTTTTTTACTGCACTGATTTGATCGTGACTTGTCCACTTTGCTCTTGCATCCTCTCCTTTTTCCCCTCGGACCTTCCCCTCTTGCCTAAATTAACCCCTCCGGTCGGTTGCGGAATTTCTCTCCTCCTAATCTTAACGGGTGACTTACTTCTTGTGTGTGCGCGTGTCTTTGTGTGTGTGTGTGTGTGGGAGGGGGAGGGGGGTGGGTGGGGATGGGGGCGGGGAAACAAAAGTGGAAGCACCAGGTCATCTGAGGTGGGGAAATGCTCCCTTTGCGTGAACGTTTTTTTTATTCTAACATAAGTTCGCCCCCTTTCCCCCCCAACCCCAACCCCGCAAAATAAAAGCCAGGCAAAAAATAAACTATATCTGTGTTTAAAAATATTCTCAAGCACATCCATTGATTCGAGATGTTGAGCCGCGTTTCCCATCTACGGCTCTGTTCGGGTGGAGGTTGAAGGTTCCTTGTCGCTACTCGAAAGGTGGGCGGTGGGGGGGGGGGGTGGAGGTGAATCTCTCCCTCCCGGTGTCCCGAGCTGACAATTTCCCTCCTCCCCCGTCCCCCACCCCCACCCTGAAAATAAAATCAGTCGTACATTTCACGGCTGTTTATGGGGACATCCGCTGGGTGAAATTAGACTGCTGCGTTCGCCTACAAACACAGTCACTCCACCACTGTAAATACTGTGCGAGGGCTTTGAGACTTCCTCCCAATGATTATTATTATTATTATTATTTATCCACGAACATATTTCTCCCATAAGATCAGAAGTGATCACGCCTCAGATCACCTGCGAGTAATAAGAAACAATCTTTGGTTTGTTTCTTGTTTGATTTTGTGGCCTTAACACAGTTTGAAGGGGAAGGTTTTGGGGGCGTTGTGGTGTTGTTTGGGAGGGGGGTGGGGGCGGTGTGAAGGGACGGGTGTAGGTGCCAGAGAGGAAGTTACCTCTCACTTTTTTTACCCACCGGTTCACATTATCACAACGATGCGAGCGTTGCCGTTAATTAAAGAGTCAAGAATTAAGTGTTTTCTGAAACGCTTTGAGCCCATCCCTGGGTGGGACCAGAAAATAGCTCACACGAAACCCTTCACAACAAGCCGCACAGCAACAACAACAACACAACACAACAAAACCACACGCGTAGAGCGCCCTTCACATCGGGAGGACGTCCCAAGGCGCTGGACGGGTAGTGTTTCGGACCCGAGCTGGGTGGGGGAGTGGGGGGGGGGGGGTGTCAGGATCCGGGATGGTGGAGGGCCGGGGGAGCGGGTGACCGAGGGGATGGGGTGGCGAAATGCAAGCGAAAGGGAGCAACGTTTCAAAGCGGCACTTTAATGTGTTCTTACGCATCACTTCTTCCCACTTTCCAAACTGTTTTGCTTGCCTCAAACTTTGACTGACTTGTCAACCCAAGACAATTAAGTTTCAAATCCTATCTCGACTTTGCCCTTTTGGTTCTTTTTTTTTCTCATTTTATTTCAGCCTCTTGTTGGGTTTGCCACGGGTGCAAAAAAAAAAACACACACACACCCGGCCCCTTTTTGAGAGAGACAGCAACTCTTTGCAGCATGCCATGCCTCACGGTTCATCGTGTAGGAATTTCCTCTTGAAGGATACTCGCCATTCTCCTCCTCCATCTTTGAGTTAAAGATGAGAACGATGGCTAAATTGTTGCTTCTTCTCAAAACGTCTCTCTCTCTCTCTCTCTCTCTACTCTCTCTCTCTATCTCTACTCTCTGCTCTCTCGTTAACATTTCTCCTGCGTTAACTTTCTCCACCGTTCTCAATTGCAGATACTTTGGTTGCCTTGACGTGTTGCTTTATAATATAATGCATTTGCACCCTGCCCACTCTGTGTAGGGGTATTTTAGTGACCCGTGGAACGTGTTTGACTTCCTCATCGTTATTGGCAGCATAATTGACGTCGTTCTCAGTGAAATCGATGTGAGTACTTACCTTCCCCCCCTCCCTCCCCCCACCCCCCAACCCCTCCCCACCCTCTCCTTGAAAAAAACATCCCCCACGCACCTGCTGCTTTTCCCGTATCTGGTTCACAAATGTTACCGCTGGACAAGTCACACAAGCTTTTACTCCTGTTTGCAGGGAACAAAGGGAAGAGTGTTCTCTAGACATGATCTGCACTGTCTCTCAATCAATCCTCTTTTTTTTTTCTAGAATGCGTGGGCGGCAAAACGTTAGCATTCCTGTGAAAGCTCTCCGCTGTCCCCCGATTACCAATCGCTGGTTCACCCAGCGACCACACACACTGGGGCTCCTCCAAAACCTTTGGGGCTCCATCCTTTTCAAACGCCAAAACACGACCCAATCGGGACCCCAGTCTGTCGCGTGTGACGTGTGCGCGCCCGCGCGCGCGCGCGCGTGTGTGTGTGTGGGGGGGGCGGCGGTGGGGGTGGGGACTGGGGTCGATTCCAATCCGGTCTCACTAAAAATAGCGATTTTTTTTTTTCCCCCCCAGGCCAAGTCTTTAAAATTAATGTTTCCCATTTTAAAGACACATCAGAACCATCGCTATTTTTAACTTAGGGCTCGACCCCCACTCCCCCACCCTCTCCCTTCGCCACCCCCACACCCGCCGCCCCAATTAGGCTCGAGAGAGTGTTCTCCTTGTGGGTCTGTTTAGATCACAGCTAAAAAAAAACACAATCGAGAACACGATTCAAACCCGTTACTGTCAAAACTTCATCGTCGAAGATATTTTTTGGGGGGGTGGGGGGCGGCGGGTGAGAGTGAGCGTGGGGGGTGTGATTAGGCTCTATGCTTTTCGATAACGTTGTCCAAAGGCACGAGATCTTTCAGGGGACGAAATAAATAAAGTTCAAAGAAATATTGGATCCCAGCGAGCCACATGGAAAGGGAAATCTGTCTCCCAAGTCCCAAACATTTGGGTACCATTGTGTGTGTGTGTTTGGGGGGTGGGAGGGGGGGGTTGTGGGGTGAGGAAGGCGGTAAACGGATGATAAAACAGCCTTGCTTTCACAGGGATGCTAAGTATTGCCAGGTTGAAACAGGCTGTACGTGTATTTATGTTGTAACTCTGTACTTTCTTGTTTCTTCTTTTGTTTTCCTTTCTGTCTTTTTTCTCATTCCCTTTTTCCGCTCCTATTGAATGCTTGCATTCCCAGCACTATTTCGCGGATGCATGGAACACTTTTGATGCCTTAATTGTTGTTGGTAGCGTCGTTGATATTGCTATCACAGAAGTTAATGTAAGTAAAAAGGCTGCTTGGTAACCCAACCTCCAAGTAGATCCTGTTCCCATTTCAGTTTTAACATAGAAATTCCAAGTCTGGCAATGTCTTACATGTTAAAATGTTGTTGCTTTAGCAGCGAGTTTTGGACGTTTGACACACGGTGCGTGCGATATGGTTTTAAAACAAAAAAAGCACTGGATGTTTTCACGCTTTGACTTATTATCTACCGGTCCTGACCCGATATTGAAAGGTTTCCCTTTTTTTTTCAACGATTTCTTTTATTTCATTTTTAATAATTAATATCAAAAGAATAGCCTGGCTCCCTCTTCCCCCCCACCTTTACCTTCCTCTTCGACCGTGCCTCGGTCACCTACACCCCCCCCTCCTGGCTCAGCATCGCGCTCCATCGCAGCCAAGCGCTCTGGAATGCTACCCCGCGTGAGGGGGCGCTGTGTAAATGCAAGTTGTTGTTGTTGTCCACCCCCCCCCCCCCGTGCCCCACCCATCCAGCCTTAAATAACGATAAAAATGTGGTAACTTTAATGAACAAGCTACAGGCTTTCAATCGAATCCCTTCAGCCGCAGCCCCCCACCTCCCCACCCCCCAAAAAAAGCGCAGAGCCCGCTCCATTGTACCCTCGTGACATTCCCAGTTTACCCATCGGCTATCCTGATATGGATTCCCAGCTCAGGGTCAGCCTGGCTCAGTCAGTAGCACTCTCGCCTTTGGGTCAGAAGGCTATGGGTTCAAGCCCCCCACGCTGGTTGGGCGGGAGTGGGGGTGGGGGGAGCGTTAAAGATCCAAAGCCACGGTTTGAAAGGCGAAGCAAGCGGCTTTCTCTCTCTCTCTGTGTGTTTTGAAGCAAAGTCTGGAAACATTTTTTTTTCTTTGTAAACGTTCGAAAACCCGCTGCTAAAAAAAATAATCCTGAAATGAATTAAGTCACATCGCTATCTCTGTGTCGCTTGTCCACTTCCGTGGTAATGACGTCAAGGTACAAACTATAGGGTGGTTCAGAATTATCATCAGTCAGTGATGTATTCATACTCCACCCCACCACCCGACATCCACCCCCATCCAACAGCCCCCCCCAGAGAAACAAACTACAAGAAGCAAAGATCAGCAACTGGACAGATACAATCACCAGTGATATATCTGTTCGTCTAATTACATGTGTGTAACATGTAACGCCATCCGCTCACGCTTGTTACTGAGACGCAACCCCCCCCCCCCACCCCACCCGCCTCCTTTGTCAATGATAATTGTGAGCCACCCCTTAGTTTCATTGAGAGAGAAAACTTGAAAAATAACACACATTTTAAGGATTTTTTTTTTGTGTGTGTGTGTCCCCGTCGAGTCCTTATCTCCGACACGTAATGACCTAAACCAGTTCCTGCTTTCGATGTGACTCAAAGCAGCCGCTATTCTGTCTACAGCAGTTTCATATCCCACCCGCCTGCCCGCAATGTACGTGTTTGTGTGTGTGTGTGTGTGTGTGTGTGTGTGTGAGGGAGTGGGGGGGGGGGGCGGTGGGGTTTGGAAGGGGGTTTGAAAGAAAAAAACTGTTAACTTTTAGGACAAATAATAAATAATAATAATATTCGTAAGGCTAGGATCAATTTTTAAAACGTTCGCATGTCTGATGACTGAAATTGGGTTGGGGAGAGAGGTGGTGGGGTTGAGGGGGTGGGGGGGGGGCTCTCTTCACCGTCTTGGTGATGGCTACAAAGGGAACGATATGGTCGACACTACATACACGAGGCAGAGAGGTACCATTTCACGAAAGTTTCACGAAACCTCCTTTAGAAAACGTGCTATTGATGAAAAGTATCCCCGTTTATATCGTTGAGTTTAAACACTTTCGAGGGGTTTCTAACCATTTTTTCCTCCCTCCATCTTCATTTTATTTTTTTTTCTCCAGAAACTTGTCGAGGCAAGTATTTATTTACAGTTGGATCATGGCCAAAACCCTCTGTTTTGGCTCCAATTATTTTGCTGCACCATTTTCGTTCGAGTTTTATTGGCACAATCTCACATTTTGAAGGACTTGCGTTTTGGTCATCCAAATTTTCGGTCTCAAATGACAGAAATCTGACTTGTAGGGTTGCAATAAGGTTCCCCCCCCATTCCCCCCGTTCACTAGCTGGTTGGCAACAACAACAAATTACATTTACATGGCGCCTTTCACATTGGGAGGATGTCCCAAGGCGCTGGACAGTCAGGGGTTTGGACCCGACCTGGGGGTTGGGATGAGGAGGGGTGGAGGGCAGGGAGGGTGGGGGTAGGAGGGTGACCGAAGGCACAGTCGAAGAGGTTTAATATTGGTAGCCGTGTGTATATAAAAAAAACAAGCCATTTAAAAGTTGTGAAATTCCTTTACAGAGTTTAATGGGATTTTCCTTTTTTTTTTAAACTCCAAAAACTATCACGTAAAATATATCCGTAAAATAGAAAATCACGCGTATTAATTGTGCCACAGAAAATTTTGCAAAGCTTAATTTACGGGACTAAGACGAATCAGAAGATTCATGAGGCGAGGATCCATTTTAAAAATGTTCGAGCGTCTGATGATTGAGATCAGGGAATCCTCCCACTCAGCTCCTGTCAACCCTGAAAGCCAAAGCCCTGACGGGAAGGGTGGTCCTAACTGGATACCCAACAGGAAAGCTTGCCAAGCAGTGCTATCACTTGCACTTTATTCAGTTTCATTTAGTTAAACTCCAGCATTCCCCCCCCCCACCCCCCACCCCACACACACTCCGGGGTCTCGAAACCTTGGCTCTCGTCAACCAGGACTTGACACTCTCCGGAATTGAGTCATCAGGGAGTGTCCCACTGAGGGACCAGAGACAGTGTGCGTTCCATTTCCAGACACGGGAATTTCCACGTGTGGATTGGGATGATTGGAACTCGCAGTCCTGCTTGGAAACTCCCAAACCGACTCCACACAAACAAATCTCGTCTCTTTGCTGAAAATGAAATCAATCTTCGGTTGCCCTTAATTTTCCTAATCCCTTCCGTCACCTCGGAACTGTTCAGACTCCAACGGATAGGGGTGGAAATTTGGATGACCAATAACTTCACCGTTTTTTTTTTTTTTTTTTTTTGGTGGGGGGCACTTTCTGCATGATCACCCGTATATGTTGAGTGAAATCACACGGTCGAACCTGTAAGAACGAGGCACAGTTTTTTTTTGTTGTTGTTGTTGTCAACGTGACTCATTTCTCCTCACTCCGTATTCCTCTTCTCGCCTCTTCTGCACTCGCTCACGGGCTGCGGAGTCAGAGATTTCTCGTGTCGCGTCGCATTTTAACAGCGAGCCACTTAAACCTGCGATTTTTAGCAATTAGATAACGTTAATATATTTTTGTTGATTCTCCCCCCACACCCCCCCCCCCCCACCCCACCAGTCTCCCTCCCCCCCCCCCCACTCTATTTGTTACGCTAAAATAACCTGCTCCTGGCTCTCGAGTTTCTCTCTCCCTGTTTCCTGGCCGACAATCCCCCCCTCCGCCCCAAGTAAAACTCGACTGCCCTGCCGCAGTTGCCTACAAAATACACAGTCACTACACAAAGATTTACAATGAACCCACAGCACGGAAACAGGCCAGTCGGCCCAAACAGTCCGTGCCGGTGTTTGTACTCCACCTGCATCGCCACACTTTACGGTTGATTCTTGTGAGGCTGTGTATCAGACGCACAGACTATCCTCATTCAAACCGAAGCCCCCCGACTCGAGTGACTTCACCCACGCTGCTGAGGTGCTTTGCGGAAGTTTTTAACAAGGTCTCCATCCTTGTCGGCAGCGCGATGCCAATTCTCCCCCTCCCCCACCACCCCATCCTCGCCTGAGGTTCTTCACCTGATTGCAGAGGTCCTCAATTTGACGGGGAGCGAAAATGACGGCGTCTGTCTGCCAGTCGATTGCGATTGCCTCAGATAATGCCAATAGTTCAGTCAGAGTACTGTGTGGTTTTTTTTTTCAGCCAAACACACGTTAAACCAAATCTCTTACCAGCCTGTGGGTGTGCGGTATTCACTACTTCCTGCCTCGTTTCATATTTACTTTCCTTATTTTTTTTTGCTGCTCGTTCTTCATTCAGAAATGCTCTGTAGACGGCGCTCACTCGCCCTAACGTTTCAAGTTATTCCTCACCTTTCGAAACCCTTCCTTCTCGCAAGGAATAGTTGAGTGCGAAGCCATTTTCCTTTCTCATTGATCAACACAGCACAAGGAAATCACAGCTTCCGGTATTTCTGACCAGAATTCCGCCAGGAGAGATTCCCGTTAATCTGCGGGAACCCCCGGGAAGCGCGCAGTGTTTGGAGACTGGCGTTGGCGTGATGTACTCCGGCGACTTATTTAAGGAAGGGGTTAAGAAATACCGCAAATTAGATCCCCTCACCCTTAAAAATGGTCGTTTGAGCATCGGATTAGGTTGGAGGAATTTCAATGGACATAAGCGTAGAGTAGATAACAGGTTTGATGTAAGAGGAAATAATGGGCCCTATTTTTAGACGTTTGGACGTAGAGAGAGAGAGAGATTGTTCTTTTACAGTTAAGTTCCCCTTTAGTTCTCCTCTCACCCCCCCTTTACGTCAAGTCGCTTGCCGCCATAACCATCATCTAAGTCTTTCATTGTTCACGAGATATTAAAAAATCATAAAAAAAACTCAAACCACTGACCAAACCTGCTGGTGTTTGCCCAAAAAATTGTCACTGCTCAGGAAACAGGAGGACACAATAAATCACGCGAGTTAATATTTAAAATACCTTTAAGCACAGTTGCATCGCCTGATCAATTTCCTAACCCACGAAATAGCAGATTTGGAAGCCCACCCACACCCACCCACCCACACCCACACCCACCCACCCACACCCACACGCACACACACACACACGCACACACACACGCACAGGAGAGATGTTTTGTTTTACTTGTTCCGCGCGATAATTGTCTCTGCGTTTCTATCAATGCTGCATCGAAGAGCAGCAATGAGGCGAAAGGCAATTACTCTATCGAACAGGCCCCGAATTTGACACTTACGACCCGTTTTAATCGCTCAAAACGCAGCGGAAGCTGCTTTAAAACATCTTTAAGCACAGGGACAGGAGCAGGCCATTCCAGCCCCTCGAACCTGTGAGATTTGATTTGTACCTCAATTCCAAACACATTGAAAAAAAAAGATCTTTTACACATAAAACAGCCCTGTGTTGCTGTTTTACATTCGCCCGCAAACACACAGTCACTCCACTTGGCAGTAAGTCCCATGAAGTGCTTTGCGATGTCGTCCTGACGGGAAAGGCGCTGAACCCAAAGGCAAAGATTACTGTTAGTAATTCTTCTCTCTGTCCTGCTCTGTGCTGTCCTGTTACTCCCAAATGGCTGATAGATTAATGAGTTAATAATTATTTAATGAAGAAACTCCCTCTGCCCTTTCCTTGTCCCACGTTGTGTTAGCGATGGCCTCTTATTGATTGCAACACAGTGCTTTATTGTCCTCACTTGTGTATGTGCATCCTCATCCCTCACTCCATTCCCCACCCCTTCACCGCACCTCCCTCCTACTCCTCCCCCTCCTCTACCCCCACCCCCCGCCCTCCCTACCCCCCCTCCCCCCCTCCCTACCCCCCTCCCCCTCTCCCTACCCCCCTCCCCCTCCACCACATCGGCTAGTTGCATGCATTTGTTACCGCACAGGTTTGGCATGGGTTTGTGATGAAGTCACCACTCACAGTGAAACCCCTTCTCGTCTTTCCACCTCTTTCCACTTCCATCTCCACCCATCGTGTTCACCATCAGTCCTGATTTTCCCTCCCCCCCCTCCCTCCTCTTCTCCCCCACCCCCCCAATCCCCTCAAACCTCCCCACCCCAACCCGCCCACCCCTCAATGCCTTCCCGCACCTCCCTTTTTGTGAGTTATATTTCTTTCATGTGATCATTTGCTGTGACAGAATGCGGGGTTTTGTGGGAGATGGTACCAAAATGGCAGCCATTTTGTCTGCCAAACAGCACTAATCTTTTCTCCATAATGTTCAACCCAACTAACCAACCAATCCAATGGCTTTAGTTGGCTTTGGGGCACCCGATTCACATCACGGTCAGTAAAACCGACATCTTACTGTACTGTCGTTTACCAATTTAATTGTGTTTTGTCAAAAGAAGAGAGTGTGTTATTTGTTCACCCCCTCCCCCCCCATAGATGCTTTTAGCTAATTAAGATCATGGTTATAATAATAACACAGAGAGCATTGAGTTGCATGTGTTGTCTTGTAAGCCTACGTGCCATTCATACCAAGTACAGAGACGTACAGAGAGAACAGGGGTTGAGATCGTTTGAGTGAGTGAGTGAGTGAGTGAGTGAGTGAGTTAAAAAGGGGGCGTTGAGGGTCTCCATGTTTTTAACATCCAGGACAGGGTTCAGGATTGAAATCCGGTCCTGATGACTGACCGAAAACGTCCCGCGTGCGGCGCGCGCGTGTGTGTGAGTCAGTGTGCGTGTGCATGCGTGTGTGTTGTGTTGTGGGTATGTGAGTGAGTGCGTGTGCGCGTGCGTGTGAGTGAGTAAGCGTGTCTGCGTGCGAATCGGGGGCAGAAAGGGAATAGCTGGGGAGGGGATGTGGGGGGCGGGGGGGGGGGGGCAGGTAATCGAGCTGCATTAAAGAAGACGGTAAAGACAAGTTGCAAGTGGTGTCACCGACAAACGAAAGGTTTTCCTCCTGGACAGAACGGCCGTCTGTAGACTTTCTCTGCGGGCGAGTTTAATGACTGATAAGTGGCATGATCCTTGCTCATGTGTCCCCTCGGGTTTCTCCGCGCGCGGTGAATTGTATCGTGATTGTATCGCGTATTTCCCCCTCTCCCCCCAACCCCCCCCCCCCCACCAAACCCCAACCCCCTTAAATAACGTTGAAAAATACAATTATAAGTGCTAATAGGAGGAGCGCATAGTTTCTTGGTGCGGCGACGTTGAAGGGAGCTTCTCTTCCTGTTAACCTGTGTGGCGGTTATCGCGGCCTCCAATAGCGGTTGCAAAATCTGTAACGGAGGGATACACCGACTTGTCATTTCAGCGGGGCAGCCCAACTGGTGGCCCGCGGGCCACATCCGGCCCACCACTTCCCCCACCCCCAATCCCCGGCCCACCCAGGCCTTCCATAGCCCGTAAATGTCACGTTACCTTTCTGGGGAAAGGAAACACAAAGATCTCAAGTAGGGCAATCTGGCCCTCGGCAGCCAAAAGGTTGGACCCCACCCCCCCCCCACCCCCCTCCTGTGCTGGGGCGTCAAGTGTTCTTTTGGCTTTAAAAAACTCGCGGGCCAAATGTTAAATGTCAAAACAAAAAAGGCGTTTCTTCTTTAGAGCTCAAAATTATTTGAAGATGAATCTGTCGCCTTGGTTAGATATTAATATAAATATTCATTTTTGAAGCCCTTTGTGAAGCCAACAGAGACTCCCCCGACAGGGGATCCTGCGGTAAGCTGAGAAAAAGTGTTCCCCCCGATTTACCCCCTCCTTCGCCTTCCTCCACCCCCCCCCCCCTTTTTTTTGCATGGATGTGCTCTTTCGGCATCGCCTCCTTGTGAACTTTCCTCGTATCGATTTCAATCCGGATTCCACTCCCGTCTTCTCTTTCTGCCGCTCAGCCGCCGACTTAGCGCTGAAATCAATCACCGGCCGCGTGCGAAGTAGATTGTGATTGGTAAGATTCGATTGCTCCCGTGCCATCACGTTAAATTTTCAAACTTACGCCCATCACCCAACTTGACTCCAACCAACTCTACCAAACTCCAATCCCATCCGATTCCACCCCACGCACTCCCCACCCCCCCCCAAAAAAAAAAGGATTTAAAACAACTTCCCCCTCCCACCACCCCTTCCCTCCCCAGCCCCCCACCCCCACCCCTCCCCACCACCTCCGCATCCGTCAGGACACCCGATTATTCTGAAAATTTAGCTTTTTGCACTGTTACTATGACAATCTTTCAGATCACATCATACTTGTGCAAGTCCTTGTAACTCAAGTATGGGATTAATGCCACACCTTGAGCTCCTTCCTCCAGTAATTTACACTTCTGGTTGCGTCTTTACCTGGTTTTATCTCAGAGTGTTTTTGGTGCTCCCTCCCCCTTCACCCCATCCTCCCCCCAGTTCTGCCCCCCCACCCTCCCACCCACAACGAGCCAGCCAACTGACCCTGTTTGTCCAATTGTTGCGTTCAGAGCTCGGAGGACAGCTCCCGGATATCCATCACTTTCTTCCGCCTTTTCCGGGTGATGAGGCTGGTCAAGCTCCTGAGCCGCGGGGAAGGGATACGCACCTTGTTGTGGACCTTTATCAAATCCTTCCAGGTGAGTGTCCAGCGTAAACTGTCGCCTTGGCGCGCGCGGTATTCGAGAGAGAGGGGGTAGGGCTTCATTTGTAATGTTTCCATGCCACTAAATATGATCGGAGCGCGGCTGGTGGAAACATTCCTCTGTTAATCTAGTGCAGGGCGGTCCAACTGGCGGCCCCCGGGCCACAACCGGCCCGCAGGCCAATTTCGCCCGCCTGACCCTGTGTAATTCTCACAAACTTTCATCTTTCTTCTCAGGCTCTTCCATATGTGGCTCTGCTAATAGCCATGCTCTTTTTCATCTACGCTGTGATCGGCATGCAGGTAACCTCCATCACATGTCTAACGTAAGGTGACTGGGCTCTTACAATACTACGGCGTACCGATTTGCACCTACGCTGCGCCTTTCACGCCGGGCAGGACGATCCAAGGCCCTTAGCAAAGCTGGGCGGGCGCCTGAGCTGGGGGCTCGGAGCCTGAGGGGGGTTTGAGGAGGGGAGAGATGACCCAGAGCGCGTTCGAAATAGAAGGATGTGTGGGGCTAATGTGGGGCTGGGGAGAGAAGCCGACACTTTCACTTTTCCTTTTCGGGTCTGGATTGAAGTGTTTTATGTATTTCCTGCCTTTCCCTCTCCCCCTTTCCCCCCAACTCCCCCCCCCCACCCCCGCAACGGCTCCATTTCCCCCACCAGGTTTTCGGCAAAGTGGCAATGCAAGACCACACTCAAGTAAACAGGAATAACAACTTTCAGACCTTCCCTCAGGCTGTACTGCTTCTCTTCAGGTAACAGAGATGTGCTCTCGGGCTTTTATGCATCGTAGAATCATAGAATCCTACAGCACACAAGGAGGCCATTCGGCCCATCGTGTCTGTGCCGGCTTTTTGAAGAGAGCTTCCCAACTAGTCCCACGCCCCTCGCTCTTACTCCATAGCCCTGCACATTGCTCCTCTTCACGTACCTTTTAAGAAAGTCTTTAAATAGAGTTCTGCACCACGATTTTAATTTGGGAGGGGTACCCCAGAGCGTGGGCTGAGCTAAACTGCTGGAGTTTGACCAGCTTCAAACCCCGCAGCAGCCCGCGCTTTGGGAGCGCTGTCTGGCACGCTTTCCCGCTGCTCGTCCGGGTAAGACTACCGGACCGGTCGGGGCTTTGGCTGGCGGGGTTAAGGGGAGCTTACGATAAAAACAGGCTGAGACTAGGCGGGAAACCCACCCAACACGTGGGAGGCTTCGACAACAACACCAACAACAACCTTGCGTTGATATAGCACTCCCCCCGCCTCCCCCGCCCCGCCCCGCGCAGTGTAGTGTCCCAGGTGGCTCACCCCGATGGCCCACGTACAATACAATGCGACGTCCAGTGACGTTCATCTCAGGAACGACGTCTCGCGCTAATGCAAATGGAAATCCTTCGCTGAACCGTCGCTCTCGGCTCTCTGCCGGACAGGTGCGCAACCGGAGAAGCTTGGCAAGACATCATGCTGGCCTGCCTGCCCGGCAAGCGTTGCGATCCGGAATCGGATTACGGCCCAGGGGAGGAATTCACCTGCGGCAGTAACTTCGCCATCATCTACTTCATCACCTTTTACATGCTGTGCGCCTTCCTGGTACGTGCTTCAGGAGCTTTTTGCTGTGACGGGGGGGTTTTCGCCCACTAAATACACAGTCACTACACTTTACAGTATGTCCCGTGAAGCGCTTTGGGACGTCTTATTATTATTTTGCCGTTGCTGGTAATGAAAAATTGCCCGTTGTTGCAAAGCAGATTTTTTTTTACATACACGCACACGCAACACACGACACACGTGCACAAACATATATATATGTGACGCGCGCACGTGCGGAAACACACGCCGAGGTGCCGTCCCTCGTAGGTGGACATTAAAGATCCCGCGGCTGTATTCGAAAAGAGAAGGGAGTTTCTCTCTCTCTCTCTTTCTCCCCCGGTGTCCTGGCCAACAATCCCCCCCAAATAAAATTGGTCGCTCGCTCCACGGCTGTTTGTGGGACGCCCTCCGCTGTGCGCCAACTGGTTGCCCCCAAAATGCACAGTCACTGCGCCTCACAGTAGACCGTCGCGAAGCGCTTTTGAGACGTCTCGATGACACGATGTGAGGCCCTGCGCCAAGTCAGTCAAGGATAAAATAACGGTCACAACTGCAAATCCTCTTTGTGCGTTTTCCTCGTCAACGTTTCAGATCATCAACTTATTCGTGGCCGTCATTATGGACAACTTTGATTACTTGACCCGCGACTGGTCCATCCTGGGCCCCCATCACCTTGACGAATTCAAGAGGATTTGGTCTGAGTACGATCCGGAGGCAAAGTAAGGGGTTGAGGGCGGAGGGGTGGGTGGGGGGGGGAGGGGGTGTGGTGGGGAGGTGGGGGTTGTGGGGTGGGGGCAGGTAAACAGGACTGAATGGGCCGACACAGACACAATGGGGGTGGAATGGCCTTCTTCTGGGCTGCAAGTTTCTGTAATTCTATGCCTTTTGAAGCGCTCCGAGACGCTACCTCGCATGAAAAGGGGGGCGCTGTATAAATAAATCCAAGTTGTTCTCGGCGCTGTCCTACGGTGGTCTACCTGCCGCCTATTTTGTCGATTCACGCTTTGAGAACTCGCTCTTTGACAGGGGACGAATAAAGCACCTGGATGTGGTCACCTTGCTCCGACGCATTCAGCCTCCCCTCGGGTTCGGCAAGCTCTGTCCTCATCGAGTCGCCTGCAAGGTGAGACTGCGTCCGCAGGCCTTGAGCGTTTCCCTGACCCTGAGACCTCTCGAAGTCGGTCCAAAAGCAGCAGGCGAACCTTTGTGGTTCGGTTTCGTTCGAAGCCGCAGCCAGTGGTGCAGCCGGCAGGGTAGTGTCAAGCGCTGTGGGACCCTGCCCTGGGTGAGGGGGCAAGGATATAATTACGTGTTGTTGTCGTTGTAGCGGAATTAACCGCTCTATCGAGCCTGGGAGGTACGGTCAACAGTTGCGTTAACGCTCTTGCTGCGCGAAGAAGCTAAGCTGATCCTCTAGCGGATGTGTTGCCCCTGGGATTCTCGGATCGATCCCAGTTCTTCTTCGGTTCTTCTTCTCTTTTGCTTCCTTTTTGTCTGCCGCCCCACCTTAAAAACTTTTCAAGGCGAGTTCGGCCCCGCAGGCTGAGCTCCCGAGCCTGGGAAATGATTCCTTCCAACAAAAACAATTGCAAAACTAATAATTAATTGGTCACTCTGTCTGTCTGTGGGGGAACGCTGCCGTGCGCAATTTCGCCCACAAAATGCGCAGTCAATTCACTTTACAGTGTATTTTGTGAAGCGCTTTGAGACGTCTCGAAGACGTGATAAGGCGCTGTATCAAACGCGAGGGTTATTATATCGTCATCACGTGCCGTTTCGCTTTAAAATCTCAGAGATTGGTCGCCATGAATATGCCTCTGAACAGCGATGGTACGGTCATGTTCAATGCAACCCTGTTTGCCTTGGTCAGAACGGCACTGAAAATCAAGACCGATGGTAAGCCTTTAAGATACTATTATATGTTACATTATTTTAATTTAATAAATCGCAATAATTTGTAATCATAATTATGCTCATTTACCGTTATTTGCACTGCGTTAACACGTTGTAATAATTTACAGCAATAGGTTATCAGATAATACATTACGATAACTCTTTAAATGTTGATAAATGTAAGAATACTGTGTAATAATGTATAGTGTGTACAGTCACTGCACTTTACAGTGAATCCTGTGAAGCGCTTTGAGACGTCTCGAAGACCTGATAAGGCGCTGTATCAAATGCAAGGATTATTATTAATATTTATATTATGCTATAATCATATCATATTTTATTATTTTGTCACATAAATCATATGATAATGTAGATAAACAATAATAATCCTTATGATACATTATAATAACAACCCTCGCATTTGATACAGCGCCTGATCACGTCTTCAAGACGTCTCAAAGCGCTTCACAGGATATGCTGTAAAGTGCAGTGACTGTATGTTTTGTGGGCCAACGAGATGACATTGACTGAGTGTTGGCTGAGAGAGAAAGGGTTGCCTTCTGGGTGAGGGGAGGTCGTCGAGATTTATTTGAAAGTTGTTCGACTTGCAGAACGCAAGTTATATTCTGTTTCTCTCTCTCTCTCTCTCTCTCTCTCTCTCCGCACAGGGAATCTGGATCAGGCGAATGAGGAATTGCGAGCGGTTATCAAAAAGATTTGGAAACGAACGAGTATGAAACTGCTGGACCAGGTGGTCCCTCCAGCTGGCGGTCAGTAAAGTGAATTCCGGCCTCTCCCCCACCCTTTCCCCCCTCTCCTCAACCCCGTAACCCAACAACCCCCAAGTCCCCCCCGCCCCACGTTCTCAATCGAGCCTCTACTCACAGATTGGAATAACAAGCTTGTTCTCCCCAACACCCCCCCCCTCATCCCCATCCCCACCCCAACAAGCTCTGCACCTGCAAGTGAATTTTTAGAGCCCTCCCCTCCGTAACGCCTCACTTTCCCCCCCTCCCCCACCCCCCTCCTCTCCCCCCTCCCTGCCTCCCCCAGTGTCACTTTCGTTTCGAACGCGTTGTCCGAACACACGTGCGCCCGTGTCGGTATCCGTGGCGCTGGTGCGGTGTCATGGCTGGCTTGTTTCCCTCGCGGCGCGAGTTTCTAGCCGGACGGTAACGTGGTGAGTTGCGATTTGAGCGCGGGGTCAGCTCAGCGGGTTCCCAAACACCCAGCACGAGGGTGAGTCGCTGTCTGGCTCTCTGTCTGGCTCTCTGTCTGTCTGTCTCTCTGTCCGTCCGTCCGTCTGTCTGGCTCTCTGTCTCCTGGGGAACACTCGGGAGAGGAGAGATCACCAAAGAGTTTCCGCGACCTCCGCCGCTTGACGTACCCGCGAGAGCTTACGTGTTTCAGGGCGACTTTTTTAACCGAGCGGACGTTTGGGGCTCAGAGTTTGGAGGAGTTTGTTAGTGTGCTTTTTGTTTTTTGCTTCTACTTTGTTTCTGGCGGCTTCGCATGGCGTGGGATTGGAGTTAGAAACCGCATGTGTCCAATAACGTATTCAACTTTTCTGCCTGAGCTTCTCTGCAGCTACCTCCGTCCTCCATCCACACAACCCCCCCACCCCCCCCCCCCACCCCACCACCTTCTTTTTCTCTCTCTTTTTCTCTTCTCTTGTTTCAAATCTGTACGAATATTCTGAAGCAGTTCTGTTTTAGGACGGTGGCATGGAACTCGTGTTGCCTCTGATCAACTCTTTCCCCCAAAAGATTTCTTTGCAATAGAGAATCGTGCTTCAGAACTATTCCACACAGCTCTACTTTGCCTGCCTGCATGTCTAGGGAAGCAGACTGTCACAAGCTTGGGAGGCGGGGGCGGTGGGTTTAGGGGCAGGGAGGAAGAGAAGGGGGCTTCCTAGTCTTTGCACAGCTTCACACACTTTATTTTATTTTAAGACGCAAGAAATCGCCACTACTTTCTTGAGCACAATAGTCAGCACATTCATTAATCCCCTACTCCACCCGCCCCTGTTTGCCTGGCAGTAACCGGTTGTTAGTCGATCGGCTGATCGCTTTCCAGGGGATAACAATCCTTCCCCCCCCCCTCCCCACCCCCACCAAAAAACAATTGGTCACTCAACCCACGACTGTTTGTGGGACATTGCTGTGCGCAATTGGCTGCCGCGTTCGCCCACAAATATACAGTCAATTCACTTTTACAGTGTGTTCTGTGAAGCGCTTTGGGACGTCCTCCCGACGTGAAAAGCGCTATATCAAATGCAAGGATTATTAGTATTATTATTATTCACGCAGCAGAACAAAAAGCTTTCACACTCCTTTTCACAGCACTTGTACAGTCCCTGTTTGATCCCCGGGGCTAAGGGCTAACATTTTCGAGGATGCAAATATTTCCCGTCTTTCGGGGTCTGAACTAACAGTTTGCGGGATGAGGGGGTGAGGGGGGGGGGGTGTGGGTTCTGTCTTTGTTTCGTTTTGTTTTGGCGCGAGGCGGGTACAAACTGATGGCACGGAAAGTGTTTCGACCTGACTGTCGCTCTCCTGCCCTCTAAGAGCTGGGTTTATTTGAGCAAAATGCTAAATAAATGGCGTAGTTGAACTTTGCAAGTTTGGCGAGAGCAGGTGGGTGCCCGGGAGATTGCCGCTAACAGCCCAAATAACGTTGGCTGGGAAATAAATTTCCTTCCTTTTCTCCAATATAAAAAAAAGAGAGGTGTTAACGACGACGCGATGAGCTGCTGTATCAAACACAGGGATTATTCTTGTTATTATTAATAATATTAATTCGGTCTTGGATAGTGCGTTCTATTAGATGTAGCTGGTCACGTCCCTCAACAGGAAAAGAGGGAGTGGGAGGAGGGTTGGGGTGGGGGTTTAAAGAAAATAATCTGAACCCATCTCCATGCGATGGATCAGCCAAAAAGTTATTCGTTTCAGTTTGATCGTTAAGCAACTCAGCCGACTGTTAATTCCCACACACCGACCGGTTTGCCACCTGATGGAATGACCATCAGAGCTGTTTGTCTTCTGCCTCTTCGCTGAGTGGCAGAGATGAACGCAGGTGGGAGATTCTGATACGGAAGCTTCCCCTCTCTCCCCTTCCCCCCTGCCCCCACACCCCAAAACTAGCACCGACAGAGAGAGCCACTGACTAACCAGGCGAGATCTCCCACACCCGCTTCTTGTGTGCCATCTCTTTGTGCCTTCCCTCGAGCCAAATGAGTTTGCATTTTGAGTTCACGTTAGCTTTTAAAAGGTGAATAACGCACATTCCCGGGCTGTGGGTTTTAACCACCTTCGGTGTATTCGCCCTCAAAGTCTGCAGTCGCTACACTTTACGGTATGTTCTGTGAAGCGCTTTGAGACGTCTCAACGACGTGTGATAAGACTCTTTGTCAATTGCGAGGGTTATCATTACAGTGTTATTATTCAGCATTTCAGTAACACACTGCGGCTGCTCTTTCACTTGTAATAAATCTGTTTCATCGCTCGGCTTCCCGCTAACGCACTGCATTTTGCCGTTAGCAAAACTTCCTTGGCGCAGGATTCACGGGGAACGGGTGGAGAAGATGCTGGGACCTTGTCTTCTGCCCCTAGCCTAGCTCAGCCTTAACGAGAGGGTGACCAAAGGCACGGTCGAAGGAAAGAGTCTTGAGACGTGCATGGAAGGAGGCAAGGGAGGGAGCGAGGCGATGGGACTGCGGGATGGAGTTCCAAAGAGTGGGGGCAGAGAGGCTGAGGGCCCGACCGCCGATGTGGGGTGGGCCGGGAGGGGGACCTGGAGCAGGCCGGAGTCTGCTGAGCGGACTTGACCACGATGTGGGTCATTGATAAACCGGCACATTAACGGTACGATCGACCAAACCACAAGGGATAGAACATAGGAGCGTAAGAATTATCAGAAGACCATCCAGTTCACCTCCCACCATCCTGGCGGCCACATATGCACACGTCATGTCTCAAAACTATACACAGTACGCCGAGATATTATTTCCTGAAATAAATCTAATCTAATTTGCTTTCGAAAAATAAGAACATAGTTTTGGGCCCCAAAATGCACAGTCAGTTCACTTTACAGTATGTTCTGCGAAGCACTTTGAGACGTCTCGAAGACGTGATATATCAAATGCAAGGATTATTATTATTATGTTACAGCAGTGATGTGCGTCATTCACCTCTTTGGTTTTCTGATTATAATTATTATTATTTTGGCTGATAGTTTAAACACGAGAGGGAGGGATTTCGGGAGGAAGGGAAAGAGGGATTGGATCCATAGCATTCTCAAGGCTCTTAAACCATTCGGTTTCTTCTGACCCGATCTCTGTCTCTTTTTTTTCCGAGCCGGAAAACGACAGTGATTTCCGCTTTAATCTTGCACTGTTAGAAGCTGACATGAGCCACACAAGTCCTTTGCTTTTTTTTTATATATATATATATAAGATTTCAGAGCGCAGGGGCAACCAAAGCAGTTTATCTATATATATATATATATATATATATTATATTTTATATTATATTATATTGAGGCTCAAAGCTCCATTACGCTCGCGAAAGAAAGGTGTTGTGCTGAAAAAAGGAAGTCCATGTCTCTGGTCTATTCATATAGATGATGAGGTTACAGTGGGAAAGTTCTATGCCACATTCCTGATACAGGACTACTTTAGGAAATTCAAGAGACGCAAGGAACAAGGTTTAATAGGAAAACCGCCCTCCAAGAACACCACAGTGGCTTTACAGGTGAGACCGACCGACTGATCGACCGACCGACCCATCTCCATCTCCCTCTCTCTCGTGGCGTTCGGAGTCAATGTGAGTTTTCCCTTTTCTTTTGTCTCTGACGTGCTTTTTCCAATCGATCGCGGCGACGGGCGACTGCGAAACGACGACATGCTGATCCGAATATCCGACTTCAAAGTTTAACTGCACCGTTTACAACCCCCACTTCCTTCCTCCCTCCCTCCCTCCCTCCCTCCTTCCCTCCCTCCCTCTCCTCGCCATCCCAACCCTCTCCGGCTTTACGAGCTACGTGACCCCATTTGCGGAGGATTGGATTACTGAGAGGTCACGCGTTTCCCCCCCCACCAGCCCCCAGCCCCCCCACCCCCCCCCACCCACTCCACCTCACTCCTCTCTGGTTCGGGGGTCTCGTGCAAACATTCATGGCTGCCCTACTCATGTGCATACATAACTGATCCATGCCCAGCTCAACACTCTGCATCGCTGGCTTTCGTGCAAACCGCGGACTGATTCTGGGGGGTGTTTTTTTTTGTGTGTGTGCGTTATTCCTGCGTTGGAAAACTGGGAAAAGCCGGGAGCTGATTGTGAGGGAAGGTGCTTTAACCGATCTGTGCATGTTCCCACTGTTGATCTCTCCAGCCAGCTCCCAGCTTTCAGAGGTGCCTGAAACGCCACCGTATCTTAGCCTGTGGGTCACTTACTTTGTGGTAAAACGTAAGGCAGCGCAGAATGGAGGAAAGATTCTTCAATTCAGCTTTAATTCGGATCTTTTTTTTCCCTTCCTTTCTTCGTTCGTTTCGTGGTTTGTTTGTTTCTTTTCTCTTTCTCTCTTTCTCTCTAACTCTTTCCTTCAAACGTCAGACTTTCCATACGCAAAAAAAAAATCCCTTCCTAAAAAAAATAGGACCGAACGTAACATTTCACCGGGGGTGTGTTTGTGTTGGCGAGGTCTTAAATTGGAAGACAAAACAGGTTCCCCACACTGGCCAGACGTGGCAGGTTGAATTTCAGGCCCTCTGGTCTCTGGCTTCCATTTACAATCTCTTGCTTGTAAACTCGCACAGTCACTTGGTATGGCAAACCAAAGGACTTGCTCAGCAAACCGGAGTGACTGGTCACAGGCAGTCAGGAGAGCAGTGGTGTGAATATCTGATCATTCATCAAGCGACGGATGGCATTGACATTTCCTGCAGTTAGCAACCACCCATCAACTTCCGATCTTCCATCGACTCAATCGCCTTTTATTGACCATCTAATAACCAGGAAAAGGTTGGCATCCGACTTAACAATCGGGGCTGTTTACCCTCTGCACCTGCAAACTGCGATCGATCCATCCATCCGTTGACTAGGAGTTCCGCGAGAAGTATTAACGTAGCAATAGAAAAGAGAGAGAGAGCAAGAGAGAGAGAACGAGAGAAAGAGAGAGAGAGAGAGCGAGAACGAGAGAGAAGGGTGCATTGGGTTGAACCGCTGAAGAAATTCAGTTTTGCCTCCAGAAATGAGCTGCGTTTAATTTTTGTACATTAAGAGACGGAAATATGACGGTAAAATAGGTTGTTTGGTCGTGGCTTGTGGCGTTGACGGGCCTTTTTGCTCTAAGAAAGTCTGCCTGGTGACCTGGTCTCGGAGAAGGTCCTGTTTGCATCATATCTGGCAAGAAACCATGTCCCTTCTGTATCCGCAAAGCGAGAGAGTTTACCAGGGAAAGACATACCCAGGACCCCGCGCGGAGGTCAACAGAAACTGTTGACTTATAGCTGGAATTCTCCCTCTTTCCCTATTCTTAGTAAGTCAGGGAATAAAACCCTTAAGTTAGAAATATTTTGTGATCGTTTATCGAACGGGTCAATTTGCACGATCCACGGTCCATGGGAAACCCGAAATATGTTGCCGTAGGTTTGGTTGTTGGTTGGCGTCAAGTGGTTCCCAAGCGCCAATTCTTAGCACAGAACAGATCGCCTTCAAGATCCTCTCACTCGTCCACAAATCCCTTCACGCCTTGGCACCTCCCTGTCCTTTCCGACCTCCTTTCCCCCCACCACTCCACTACCCTCCGCCTCCGCTCGGCTGGCTCCGACCTCCTGCTTGTCCCCGGTTCCCTCCGCTCGCCCATCGTCCCCGCGCTTTCAGCCACAACACCCTGAGGCTTTGATACTCTCTCCCGCCTTTCAATCCCTCCGCCTTTCATCCTCGCTCCCCTCTTTCAGATCCCCTCTTCTTCTACGACTGTGCTTACGGTCACCTCCACCGCCCCCCCCCCCCACCCCACCCCCGGCTCGGCGACAGGCTCCGCCACTGTTAAGCGCTCCGAGACTCTACCCCGTGTGAAGGGCGCTGCGTAAATGCAAGTTGTCGCAGTTGCTGCAGTTCACGTGTCAGTGTTACCCGTTGCACAGCCTCAGTCCACATGCATCAGTCTCGCCCACACGCAAATGACGAAGCATTTTGTCAGCCGCGTTTTCTCGAGAGAGAGAGAGAGAGAGAGAGTGAGAGTGAGTTGCCGGCGGAGCGATCAAGATTAAAAAGATGAGGGCTCGCTGGATTCAAGCGAGATGCCCAGATGGAAAAAAAAACCCAGCAGCTGAATGATAAACGACAAGCAGAAGGGGAGCAGAGAAAAACCTAGACGCGGAAAGACTGCCGTGTCCGCACGTTGACGGCTCTGTCTCTCTCCTGAGTCCTGTGCCGTGTTGACTCTTAACGTCAACTGTTAACACCTCGCAATTATCCTGCGGTCTCGGGCTGTCGGCTTTGCTGTCCGACAGGAAATACTGTCGGGGGAATTTATTCTGTCTTATTTGCGCACAGGTGATAGCCTGACTCAGCGATGGCTCTCTCTCCCTCTCTCCCTCTTTATCTCTCGTCTCCGAGTCAGACGTTTGTGGGTTCAAGCCCCCACGTCGTCGCGCAGTCTAAGCTGACGCTCCATTGCTGCGCTGGGGGGGTGGGGGGGTGGGGGGTTGAATTGTCGTCACTCGTTTGCAATCCCGCGAAGCGCCTCGAGACGTGCCGCCCGCGCGATAGAAGCGCTGCCTCCCGACCAGAGGATCGCTGCCGTTTAACGGTGTCGCTCTCCTGCCGTTGGAGCAGCTTCACGTGGGCTGCAGCCGCCGCTATCCGTCAGTGGGAGGCGCTGTTGGCCGCGGGACGTCCTCCTGACGCGAAAGGCCCTATTGACGCTCTTCGCCCCTTATCTCGGCCACGGAACCGTCTGGAACCAGTTGGAGCGGTGGGTGTGGTTCGATACTCACTGCGGTCAGTGTAATTGGAAGGGAACGTATATATATATATATATAGATATATATATATAGCGAATGGGCTGGTGGGATCGGTTTTCTGAGCCGTTGAATACAGTTGTGTTTTTTTTGGTTGGGGAGGGGGGTTGGCGGGGGGCTGGGGGTGGGGACGCAGTGAGGGGCATTGAGGGAGGGGGCAGGTGGGTGACATTAAAAACAATGACCGACTTCCAGGTCATCAGGTCGCTGCTGAAGTCACTTCTACACGATACGCTGTGAATCGTGCTTGATATTTGATTGTACTGATGGTCACCTCCCTCCCTCCCTCCCTCCCTCCCCCCCTCTTTCTCGGGGTCAGACTCCGGCGCTGTCAAGCCCTCTGGGACACTACCCCGCGCGAAGGGCTCTATATAAAACACAAGTTGTTGTGGTTGTGAATGCTGAGTGCTTGACTAGCGGTCGCATCCCGTCATCACTCTGCTTGAGATCTTATGAACACCCCCTCTCTCCTCTCCTCTCCTCTCCGCTCCCCTCTAATTACGGTGTTATAAATAAGGCTCTATCGTTAGCTGTTAGCGTAGAACCCCCTGTGCTTAAGGACTAAGCCGAGTTGACATTTCAGGCGTCGTGTGCTCACAGGGGAGTGGCTGAGCGCAGAGTTTCTGCCCTACGGCTATTCACTGAGTCACAAACCCGTGGGTTCAAGTCCCACGTTGGGACTTGGACCTCATATGGTCTAAGCCGACATTGTTGAGGAGGCGCTGGATTGTCGGAGGTGCCGTCTTCCAGGTGAGACGTTAAACCGAGGTCCCCGTCTGGCTGTTCGGGTGGACGTTAAATATCCCATTGCTCTATTCGAAAAGAGAACCGAATATTCTCTCTCTCTCTCTCTCTCTCTCTCCCAGTGTCCTGGCTAACAAACCCCCCCCCCCCCACCCAATAAAATCAGTCGCTCACTCCACGGCTGTTTGCGGGGACGCTGCTGTGCGCAATCTGGCTGCCGCGTTTGGCCCGCAAAATACACAGTCACCACACTTTCCAGTATATTCTGTAAAACGCTTCGAGACGCCTCGACGGCGTGATAAGGCGCCACACCAAATGCAAGGTTTATTATTACTATTATTGTTATTATTGTTATAACAATAGAAGGGTATTTGCTGCTGAATTCGAGCAAGCATCCAGAAGGTTTTATCGACCCAAAATTACATCCCCGAAAACATTAAAGTGTTTAAACATCAATCAAAAATAGCTGTGGGGCCTGAGCTGGTAATTTAAGAGGTTTAAATGAGATCAGCGGTCGGCTGGGAATAATACGCAGCTGATTATATGATCCCTGCCTTTCTCTTCTCATGGTGCGGATGCAAATTCTGCTGCTAATCTGCTTCGCTTCTGAAAGAGTTTTATATATATATATATCTGAATGCGCACATAAAAGTACAATTTTTCTTGGCTCAGCAAAAATATGAAACAGAGAGAGTGTTTAATCCTCGTCTGATCCGGTGCCCTGATAGGGGACGCTTTCCTCTGTAGCTTTGCGGGAATTTTCCCGCGGGGCTGATTCAGTGTGTGAAGTTTGCAGATTAGCACAGACTTCGTTAAGAGAATAAGATAAAAAGTTTGTCTCCTGGACAGTTTGCCAACAATTTTTCCACATTTCAATATAAATCTCCCAAAGTCTACTTTCATTTCGGAGACTTCCCCCCCCCCCCCTCCCCTCCCTCAGCTCCTTCTCCTCCAAATAATTATTATTATTTTTTGGGGCGC